AGAAAACACATTCAAGAAAATTTGGGTCAGGAAAGGTTTTAGTCTCCCTGTATGTCTGTCAGGCTGCTGATGTCTTCATTTGTTTGTCATAAATTCCCCGTGGAAAACTAGAAGTGAAATCTAAGGCTTTCTCCTTGCTCATCTCCTGAGTAGGCAGTAGTATCAGTCATAAGCATAGAGAGAAGGATTGACCTAAACAGTATCTAAGAGAGAAGGAACATCTTTTTGAGGTTTTTCTCCATTTGCCAATTTCTCATGTCACCTTCTCATCCTGCCAGGCCAGAGATGTGTGGGTTCCTAGGAAAACAGACCCCAAAATTGTTGCCTCATTCCTAGATAATTCATGTATCTGCTGTGCACTTCAGTATATTCCAGAACAGAAACTGGACGGTTGAAAGCATCCTCTTGAAGGCAGCAGGACATGTCAGACTGAAATACAGCACTAAAGGTATGGCAGGGAAGAAAGGAGGATCAGGGCTGTTAATTCAAGTCTCTTCAGCTATGAAATGCTGGCTCTTTTATTTTTGTCCACAATATGAAAATGATATCAAGAGGCACAGACAGATTTCTGTACCTCATCAGTGACGCTGATGCCTTGGACATCCTGTGGATATTCTGGTTCTCATGCATCTTTCCAAAGGTAAGGAAATGCATGCCAGATGACAGAAATTATTCTTGTGTAAAATACCTCTACCTGATGTTTCCAAATACTATAAGCAAAATTATCATTACTCACCCTGCCAAAACAATAGGCTGACGTAAAATTTGACTACTTGGATGCACAGTTCCTCACAGTTAAGCAGCTTGTGGGAGAAAGTAATTGCTTGGAATAATTTCAGACGCTGTAATTTAAAGATCAAATTCAAAATATCTAAAGCACTTTACAGTCACACCTAAATCTTCCCATCATCAACTCCAGTAACAAAATTGGATACATGTAACCTTCTGCAACATCGTGATTTTCTGAAGATGGAATTTTCCCACTTGAAAGAGGCTATCTTCATGGCAGAGAACCACTTAAATATCTTATGCTGACTTTAATTTCAGCAGCAATTGAAATGCTGCATCTCAGAGTAGTTAAAAGCTCCAGTATGTATATTACACAAAAGCTTCTGAAAGTACTGTGAGTTTTCCAGAACAGCAAAATGCCAGTTCACTGGCACTTTTTATTACATCTCACAGAATGCAAGATTTGCTGTTGTTGGAAAATAAAATGAAAAACACTTTTCTAAGACCATCCAGCAAAACTCTTCCTCCCAATCAGGGACACAAAAACCTACAAGATCCTCTCTCTAGCTACAATACACAGTGCTTAAGCAAAGCAATTCCACTCATGTCCATGACTGACAATAACAAGATATCAGGACCCAACCTCCCCATTAAGAAAAGATAAATGAGGGAGTTCATTTATCAATTACACCAAAACCTTTCTGGAGGTGCATCCATGGAAAACTGAAAGGGAATGTTGTGCTGCATTAGCTAAAAGCAGAACTCAAGACAATATAAGGCTTGTATAAGAAATGCTAATCATATTCTTGTTTATTATTCTTAAAAGCATTTAACTAAATATTAATGATGTTTCTCATAATCTTCCCCCACTTCCCCAAAGAGGCATAAAAATGTGCCATTTCCATAATGTACTGCTATATTCAAGGCAAATAATTATTAATTTCCTTTAAAAGAAATTCGGCCAAAAATAAGGCACTCATCTAGGCAGTAAGATTGACTTAAATTATGCTAATCTAAATATATATTTGCACAAGCCTAAGCAACATTTATTTGAACGCTGTGAAATATTGTACATCTTAAGTAAATATATTTATGTGGCTTTCTCAAAACAAATATCTAATACTGTTGGAGAAAAGGTAAACTTGAAAATGCAGACATTTACATGTAAATAATATTAAGATTATGAAAACAGCAAATGAGATTTAATATAAATTCCCCATGCTCCATTTTGTTTGCTCATTTCACCAAAGCATGCACTGAAAGGCAGAATCTGTCATCATCTCCATATCAAGCCTTCTGGATACTGTTAATTGATACAACACAATCCAACCTGCAGCAATCAATACTATTTTGGAATCAAAAAAGCTTTTTAGTGTATTTATAGTAACACAAAAACTCTGGAGGCTGGCAAAACCTTTCACTGCACAAATAGCACACCGTGGTCAGGAAAATTGCAGAAACCACCACTTCCCAAGCTGATCTGGTATTGAAGAGAAGCTGGATAAAACACAAGCAAAAAGAAAAATATATTTTATATTTACCACTAACCTGGGGAGGAGGTAAATGGTGAATACTGAAGGTAATCAGTTTTAAGTCAGAAGAAATGGAATCTGTGCTGTTGAGTATCATTACTACTGGTTCGTTACTTTTTCATTGCATTTTATTTTCACAGCTCCACATTTTAATCAGAGAGAGAGGCAAGAATAATAACAAAAATACCCATTTTTTGTACTAAGATAATAATTTTTGCACTAACAAAATACAGATTTGACTTATTTAGGATATATGCATTCCAGTATGTTGTTTTCACAGGAAACAGATAAGCAGAAATATTGTATTTGTGAGGTGCCCCATGACAGGAAGGAATTATGCATCTGACTCCATGTTCTTAGAAAGTTAACTATTTTAAGATACTGTATTATATTAAATACTATACTGAACTATGCTAAAGAACAGAGAAAGAATACTTACAGAAGGCTTACATGACAATAATGACTCTTTCTAGAGCCCCGACACAGCTTGGCCCTGATTGGCCAATGAGTGAAAACACAAAATCACACCAGAATCCAATGAAAAAATCATCTGTGGGTAAACAATCTCCAAATACATTCCAAAGCAGCAAAACACAGGAGAAGCAAATTAGATATTTTATTTTTCTCTGAGGCTTCTCAGCTTCCCAGGAGCAAAATCCTGGGCAAAGGGATTATTCCAGAAAATACCACACAGAAATATCTCCTAAAGCAGTGACTTGCAGTTCTCAATACTACTTTTTCAAATTAGATGTTATTTTGTGCAAATGGCTTTAACACAGTTGACTATTTGATACACACTAACTGGCGTACCTAATAACTGGATTTACACACTCTTTACTTTGAGAACATCTATACTAAGTAGAAGAAAAATTTTACAGGTTTCCAAGCATGCCTCCTTACAGAGACATAAGGAGGGGTTCAATCATAATAATTACCTTGAACTTACTGCTACAGCCTTCTCTGCTGGAGAAATGTGCAGGTTGCAGCAAGATGGGGGTCAGTGTCTTCTCACAGATGAGAAGTGATAGGAGAAGAGGAAACAGCTTCAAGTGATGCCAGGGAAGGTTTAGGTTAGATATTGGCGAAAACTACTTCACTGAAAGCATTGTTGAGCAGTGGAACAGGCTGCCCAGGGAAGTGGTTCAGTCACCACCATCCCTGGAGGCATTGAACACTTGGGGCATGTTGGGTTTAGGGCTTAGCAGTGCTGAGTTGAGGGCTGGACTTCATCTATGAGGTCTTTTCCAACAGAAAGTATTCAATGATCATCTTTATATCCAAGGGAAGCTAATTCATCACTCAGAGCTCTCATGGAGAGCCCAGTCTAAGGGCCAGCATTGGTGGAGGGGGAGGTCTTTGTTCACATTCTCATGCAGCAACCACTAAACCATCCATGCACAACTCAGTGAAAAGCCAGCATTTATGGGTCTGCCTACCAATGCAGATATCATTTTTCTTCCAGCTGCAATATTTTCTCCCATGGTGTCACCTTGGTCCCCCGAAGAGCCCGTGTTGCCATGAATGTTGTTTGTCTGTGGTGTAATAGCTGCATGCTGAGCAGAAGAGCAAGCAATCCTCTCTTCTGTGTATTCTCAGTAACCACTTCTTGTCAAAGGATGTCATGACTCCTATCTAGGTGTTATTAAATGTACAGTAGGTGTTTTCACTGCACTACACAGGTAGTGTTTGCAGTGACAGAAAAACAAGATTATGGGGAAGATGATGGATAATGAATCAAGTTTTTATCCCTTTATTTGGAATACTATTTCTATGAGCTTGTCTGAAAGGCAATTCCTCTGCTTTCTACCTCAACTTATTGTGTGAAGCATGAAAGCAGAGTGTCACCTCTTTTGTGAACATTTTTGTGAACAATTTCTCCTTTTGTGAACATTTCTCCTGAGCAGTCTATTTGAGAGCCCAATGTCTGACAGATTTCTACCCTCAATAACCTTATTCAATTACAGAACAAATAAGCTAATGGTTTACAGAAGTTATAACTCACAAAGAGATATCAGGAATGCATGCATGCCTTTTCTTTTAGTGTAAACATTATATTCTGCTGGATTCTCCTCTTATTTGGACAAGGTAAAACTGTTTGCAGTTAGAGTTGAAAAATCTTTCTGTTTGGTGAAGAAAAAAAAATCAGAAATTTACAGTCACTCTTCAGGATGAAAAATAAAGATCATTTGAGAAAAGTTAGTCTTACCCAAAAATTTCCATCCTTTTTTTTTTTGTTGTTGCTTGGTATTTTTTGGTTTTTTTTTTTTTTCCGTACATCTTCATTCCTGCTCTTAGTTTGCACTGAGGTGTAATGAAGTGTCTGTATACACCAGACATAAAAGTCACCTCTGGCACTGCACAGTGTACAGAAAAAGCCTCTCCTGCACCTCTGTGACACACTTTTTGCTTCCTACTCTGCAGGCACAATGGCTTTCTAAGGTGCAATGCAAAAAGCCAAAATAAAACATGCTGCATCTCTGCCTTCTTTTCTTGTCCTTTTTCGGTAAATCAAGATCAGTAAGAAAAATGGTAAATGGAGGTTTTGTAAGAGATGCTATTAATATATCTTTATCCAATGAATAGGCACCACTATTCATTACATGGATGCCATAAACATGCCATCCATATCTTAACATTTTTCTAAAGTCTGTACCCTCTCATGTAATGTTACCTCAGGTTCACAGAAAACTTTTCTATTCAGAGAGACAAAGAATATTTCATTTATATTCCTTCACATACCATCAAGCCCATTGTGATGGCTGTAGTTTCTTTTTCCCAAAATACTTAATGCAGAGTGGTTGGAGGGTGCAAGCAGTCGTTTTGCACTTGGACTTTGAAGGCTTGGTGTTGACCTGATTACACTGGGTTTCACAGCAGGATGTATCTCTGTTTGAGAAAAAAGAGAGAGAGAAATTATATCTACTTGATTTTAAGATAAATAAAACAATCTATTCCACATATGATATTTACTTTTGTTCTTCAGTGAAAAGAAAATTCCTTTGCACTTTTGTGTTTACAAGACCTTGAACAACACGAGTCTTCCTACCCACAGCTCCTCCAAGTAAGAAAGACCTATTTCACTTTAGGTTACCCAGACTCGATTCCACAGTGCAGACATGTAAGGATTTGAGGTTGAAGAGCTAATAAACACAAAACACTCTGAAATGGGTGTGTTTATATTTTCCTACCCTTTTGAGATTTGTATTGGAGCTACACACCCACAGGTTTCAGCAAGCAAATAAAAGCATTCTACTGTAGTGAAACTACCTCAACACCTCAAGCTATTCAGTATCTTCTGTCACACATGCTTTAAGGGACCTTCCCACACACAAGTCACAAGGTGCAGGAGTCAAGAGGAAACACTGTAGGGCTTTGCAGGTAAAACTACCCCAAAACTGCAGTGGGAACACTTCCATACTTCCCCTTACTGGGGAGCTTCAAACGTCCCAGAGCATCTGTTTCATGGAGCAAGACTATTTTGGAGAAAAAGGAATAAAGAGGGAATGAGGCAGCAAAACACATGTGGCCAGCACATTTCAGGGTGGCACCTGCTGTGTTTGCCAGGAGCTGACGCAGCTGCAGGGAAATTTCTGTATTCTGCCAGATAAAAGTGGCAAAAGGAAGCCTTGGCTGAGTCTGCTGGTCCCTCACCAGGAATTTGCTGAACCAACTAATTAATTCCCATCACACATTTGGGTTCAAAATGCCACCACCCTGTCCAGCCTTGGTGGGCCCAGGCTTGTGTGGGAAGTCAGCTGCCCAGGGCAGGTCCTGGCCCTGTGTCACAGTGCAGGGCACCAGCTGCCAGCACTGTGCAGGGTATGAGGCACCAGCTGCCCAATTACAGCGGCCTCTGATGAGCCAGGAGGCAGAAGAGGCTGAGAAGGTGAGGGCAGAGGGGCTGGCAGTCAGATCAGCAGAGTCAGCTGCCCAAGGCAGGTGAGATCAGGACACAAAAATTGAGTACTTTCCCATTTGCAGCCCAGGTTTACACCTCCTGAAAAGTGCTTCTTTCTTCTTATAAAGTGCTTTTTTTTTTTTTTTTTCTGTTTATAAAATGGAGCAGAGAAGCTGGGAAGATGCAAAATCTACAGTGAGGCCAAGTATCCAAGGAGGAGCCTCTCCAGCCTCTGCCATCCATGAATACCATTCAGGAGAAAGAGAAATCACTGCATAAAGTCAAAGCCCACTGCAATAGCATGTTCTCACTCCTTCAGGAATGCCCAAAATCTGATACCCAAGTGCTTCCCTGCCCTGCCTGGAGCTCTTGGTCTCATGGCCTTGGCCAGGCTGTGCCAGCGTGCCAGGAGGAGACAACACCAACAATTTTCACACTGGAAAAGACTTTGCTTAATTGTTCACCACTGCTTTAGTTGGGGCTTGCAATCACACTCTCCAAGCATGAACACACTCCCATGAGAAGCCTCAAGAGGGTCAGGTATGAAACAGTAGGGCAGAGAAATACACAAGCAAGTATTAGGACAGGTAGGAAGGAAGGCACAGGTAACCAGTCGCTTCAGGGCAGAGCTATAGATTTGATGGCACCAAATTCCCCACCACTTAATTAGATAAAAGCTTTTTACAGATATTCACTGCAGAATTCATCTTGCTTTTCACACAGAAAAGATTTCATGGCATGTCCTGTTTTTCTTGCTGTGGGGAACAACCATCTCATACTTTACTTTTTTACTAAAATGGGAACAGAGGCATGCTTAATGTTATGAACACCACTGATTGCTAAGGTAAAACTCTAAACTGAAATAGATACACTTGCGCTGTTTGCTGAAGGTAATTGGAATTTGCATTCTAAAATGTTCATTTAGCAATCTTTTCCAGTTTTCTGAAGGAAATGGTAGATTTCCAGGGATAACAACACTAAAATCTTATTTTATTTGCCAAAGAGCTCCAGCAGCAACCACAGTAATCCCAGCAGTTGCATTGACACATGAGAACTCCACCTCCTTTCATCTGCAATCTATAGGAGAGGCAATTTCATATTTTCAGGGTGAGCAAACAGTTGAGGAAGGAAGCATTTCCTTCCCTCAGCTTCTCTTCAGTTCAGAAGTCACTAATCCTCCATTAGTTTACCACAAAGGCTGTCCTTTCTCTTTCTGCAGTAGAGGAAGGTAGCAAGACCAAGCTCTACATTTAAGTTCTAGAAAGGAACTCAGTAAAACAGCCAGGATCACTTCCCAATGGACCGAGTCCTTCCTGTGCAGACCTTTATATCTTATTTCACTCCTCCTCTACATATAGACTTGCTTCAAATATTTTCATGCTTCAGATCAGCACTTCATAACCATCTGCCTCATCACACCCAAGCAGTGTAACGAGGCATTTCAGGAGTTTTGCTTACTATGCCTTCATATAATTGTATTATGGAATAATAGTAATCAAAATCTTTTAATTCCTGCTGCTCTTATGCTTGTTCTATTGCATAGCACTTCACCGAAAATCTTTTAGCCAGCTGCACCTTGTTCTAACTCAGAGCATTCAAATTATCTCATGACCAGTAGCAAATAGCCAGTCAGCCACATTCTGAAATAAAAATAAATAGGAGTAAGAGATACTGTTTCAAAAACATATTAGTAACCCATTTTATAGGACCAGATTTCAGCCTCAAGCAAGCAAATAACAATAACAACATTAAAAAATTCTCCCTTTTTCCTTATGTCAGTAGGGTAAAAAAAATATAATACCCCAAAGTAAACAAAGAGAAGCTGAAGTCTTGTACCAAATCACCTCAACAAACATCCTGGATTCCAGAGGGGCTTAGGCAGCTGCACCTTCCCCTCACCTCATCTCCTCAACATGTCTCCCAGCTGGAGTGTTAGCCTGGTTTTCTCATAACTAAGAGATAATATAGGACATTTAATTAGCCAGGGGTTCACCACAGCAGCTTTGTTTTAGGAAGCACAGTGATGACTGATGAGATTTAGGGGATAGGCCCCAGCTCTTGAGAGGACAAGGCCTAATTTTAATGCTTGTCCTACCTCACCTGTGGACCCTGTAGCCAAGATGCAGAACCAGGGTAAAGGGAAGTGATGACCCAGGATGTGCAGGGCACTGAAATCCTCCCTGCCTTACCAGAAAGGTGGAAAACAGTAGTGCCCTGACACATTGTTAATTGTATGCCAATAAATTTCTGTGAGAATGGCACAGCATGAATCTTAGAAAGAAAACAAGTGCCTCCTATATAAGTTGACATGATATATAATATTTTTATGAGAAAAATAATGCAAGATTTACTTATCTACTGAAATTGCAAAAATCCCAAATAAACAAAAAAGATCACAAACAAACAAAACTAAAAAATTTCGCCAAACTACATAGCAAACAAAAAGCCATTTTCTAGCCATCCCTATAAAGCTAATTCAGATTAATGTAATCAACTGCACTGGGTTCACTTCACATTCCCATAACACATATTATTTTCCTCAGCTGTGGTGAGACACTGTTACTTCCCATACAGTCAAATTCTAAGCAGACTCTACAGATATCTGGCATATTTTAGCACTGTTAATCTTCTACCAGACCTTCATGTGAGTTCACAAAATGCTGCCTGACACTATTCATCCATTCACTCTCTTAAACCTACAGACTCAGACTCCCAGAGGGGTCAAGACAACTCCACAAAGGCTATATAACATGGCACTAAAAACATGTGGTGTCTTCCAAGTTTCTCCATGTTACCTGAGGAAATTACCATGTTATTTCCTCTTTAGATGCACAAAGTCAGCTGGATGAACCATCCCCTGTCCAGCTTCCCCCCTCACAACCACAACTCCACCAAGCCAACCCAAGTAGTCCCTCCAATACACATAACACACATAGCTGGGATGTCTGTAGGGAATTATTCCTGTATTTTTTCTTAAACTCCAGGGCAGGAGAAATCAAAATTCAGTGAGAATGGCATTAATTCCTCATTACCTACATTCTTGAAGTTAGCATTTCGACAAAATTGATGTCCTGGAAGAACAGTTGTAACTACATTAAAACTGATTTCTATTTCAGTAAGGCAACAGACTTACTGTTTACTTTGATCTAGTACAAACCTTCTGCTGACTGAAATTATGAGCAAAACATCTAGACTAAGCTCTACATTCAGCTGTAGAGTTCACTTCTGTAGAACAGGATTAAAACACAGCAGAATTACTCGCTGCATCTCTAATCAACTGATTGACTTCTATTCTCATTTGAGGATTAACAGTCTCTGGGTTATGACAATTCTTATATGACTGTGCAAATATTTAACAGCCACTGACGGCTCATTGCAAGGAATCATTATTATCAGAATTTTTCCTCTCCCCATTTACTTACAGTTTCATGTCCTCTTGGTTGTGAATTCAGTACAGATTTCATTGCACCTTTTAAACTTAGGTCATCAAATTACAAGGTATGCATCTTAGTGTGGCTGAGCTCCCCTGCTCTTAAGTAAAAAGTAGTATTGCAAATGGATACAAAGGCCACAGTAGAGCAGTCCTGAGAATCTCCCCTTTGAGCAGATCTTCTTTATATTTAGAGAGCCAGACTATTTTACACGTTCTAAATTACATCAGGTGTCACTCTGACACTGAACCAGTATCAGGAGGACTTCTGCCTCTACCCTGAAAGTTCAACCATGCAGTTTTGTAACTCAAGTGGAGAACCATTATTATTAATTTATTAACTTCATAATTTTTTCGCATTACTAAAAGCATAAATTCTCTCTTTCTGTGCATCCCAGGTTGTGATGCTTCAGTACACACTGAAAGTTTGTTTGGTTTGTTATTCTCCATAGGCAGATACGCACCTAAATACCCAATGATACATGACAGTGGCTTCCTGGTGCTTTTTATCTTCAGAGGATTCCCAGCAAGTTCACAATGTCGATCTGCATCTGAGAATTTTAAAGAATAAAACCCAGTTTAAATATTTTACTACTACAAACAGATTTAGGACATACCAGCCAATCTCTGACTTGCATTTTTAACACAAATTTCTTTTTTTCTTTTAGCCCACCTTTTAGAGTGTCCTTTTTATCATCAATACTTCTAATCATGAATATTTAAAGGCAGGACATGTCCTCTTTCATGCCAGTGATGTTATGATTTTTTTTTCTTTTTAAGTAAATGTAAGTTTTAATACCAGTTAGACTGTAGTTTTTGCTTACAAAGTCTTTCTGGAGGTAGCCAGCCAGACAAATGGAACACAGATGAAAATGTGATTACTAAAAAATGCAGTTTTGACTATTAAAAATTATTTACATTGAATTCTTTTTTGTTTTCTACACACTTCTCTGTCTCTAAATGGGGCAATACAGAGTTAAGGATTTAAAGGTAAGGCTACTGATTTTTGTCATACAACTCCTCACTGTAAACTTTTCAACAAAATGCTCAGTTGTAACCAAATATTACAGAGCTCAAAAGTTTAAAAGATTGTAACTTTCTTCTAAGTACATGAAAACTAGCAGTGCAGCAACTGCCTTAAATTTCCTGCTGCTACTGTGAATACACAAGCAGACACTCCATCCACATGTTCCAAAAACAAAGTGCTAACATAAAGAGGTTCATGCTTAGACAATTAAGTCAGTCAACTTAATGCAAAACTTCACAAGGCACCAGGTTTCAGTAAATCATTTCAAGACGACTGGAAATAGATAATCTTTTTTTTTTTCTTTTTAAGTATTCAGAATAATTGGGTTTCCTGTCTTCCAAGAGCACAAAAAGCTACCATAGAGAGCTTCCAGTATCCCTAGAATACAGGTATTCTGTTCTGGACAAAATTGCATTCATACAGTGATTATCTAGGTCAGGAGTTCTCTCAAATGAAAGAGCTTCCCACAAATACCTACCTACAAGTTTTACAGAAGGGACACATTATATAGATTATAATTGCAACTCCACCCTGTGTTTCACCAAACTCTTCCTTCGCTTCATTCCAGCACATGAGACACAGTAAACAGCAACAGCAAGAGGATAAGACACCATGTAAAGCATTTACAATCCCTTTATCAATTCTAATCTAGATCTGTGCAAAAATCATGAAGATGGTGAAGGCACAGCAATGACTGGAATAAGTATTTCAGATGTTCAAGATGTTTTCAGTGCAGCAGAAAAAGCACAACTTACTCTCATAGATTAAGGAACCTACATAAAATTGTGGAAATACCAATGGGTTTCAAAGGTTCCAGAGCCCTAATGCTGAGTACATTAAGTACTTTGTTACCTTTTCTTAATCACAAAACATATTGTGCTCAGGAAAAAACCCAAAAGGCCTGGTGCCCAGAATATTTTTAATATTGCAAAACACCTGAAATTATTTAAGTCGTGGAGCAGAATGATGTGTCTCCACTGACTCCCTCAGTAAAATAAGCAGAGGCTATATAGTATTTTATAGCTACTTTGAGAACAGCAAAGCATCACCTAAGAAGTAATTAGCAAGAAAATTTTCCATCTACGTGCCTTCACTATAAAAAAAGATATTGAATCATGTAGTGGTATTTATATGCTGACTGGGAACACATACTGCAAGGAGAGCACAATTTTCATGCTTGAGATAAAGCATGTTCATCAAAGGTGAGTATTCAAAGCACACTTATCTTTTGAAACAGTAAAGCAAGCTTAACAGCAGCAAACTTTGATCCACAATAAGGTGCTCCCATAAAAAGTATAATAAAGTTTATGATCTTTATGCAGAACACAGAGAAGAACATAGAAGTTGTATTGTGCATCATTCTCAAGTGTAAAACCAGAGAATAAAATTTGGGTAAGAAGATATCAAAACTCCCAAAATTTAAAGCAAGTCCTAAAATCATATGTGATCTTTTATATGAGCAATAAAAATCTAAGTAAGATCAGTGAAATAGTGGAAGCTATGAGAAAAAAAAATCATGACAAGAAGTAATCTGATATTTTTTAGTATATTTTTCAAACATAGCAAAAGCAGAAAGTGTGCTGGTGTCTGTAGCAATAGATTATGAAGGTGTGAGGAAAATACACAAGCAAATAAAGGCACAGCAGAAAAGCCAAATGCATTTTTTGTATCACTGTTCATTGCAGAAGAACCTAAAGAAGCTCACTTCCAAAATACTTTTACGAGGAAAGTATGAGAACTGTGTCACATTGAAGTGTCCATAGGAAATATTTCAAAATAAACTGCTTAATCAGTAGAACCAAGTTACCAGGACCAGGTGGAATTCATCCAAACTGCTGAGCAGACATGCTGCTGGTGTTTAATGAATGCTTAAATGTTCTTGGTTGAAGAGAACAAAACCAGGGCAAATGTGATAACATACTCCAGTAAGTAGGTCTGCAGAGTGGCAGAAGGTTGCATTATTAACAGAAGTACATGGTTAAATTTGGAAACATCAAGGGAGCCAACAAAGACCTTGGAAGGGAAGGCAAGTTGAGCGTGTTCCCATGACTTGTGTTGTGGCACGTCCTTGCAGCAGGAAGGACGGACAATGGTGCGCTGGGCCTCGCGCGCCCGGCAGGGCTGGGAGGAGATCACCCCTCCCCTCAGTCCATGGCAAACACAGCCAGAGCCTGTGTCCAGCTCTGGGTCCCCACCAGGGAAGAGATACAGGCACAAGGGGCAGGGCCAGCTGATGGATTGGGTGTTTGAGTGCAGCACATCCAGGGCCTGGGGAACTGCTCTGGGCAGCCTTGAGAGGGAAGGACAAGGGGACACCTGGCTGGCACCTCAGCCTGCCAGAACAGAGCACAGGGACACTGAGCCAGACCCTGCTCAGAGGAACACAGGGCCAGCACAGCACACTGCTCCTGTCTGTGGCAGAAGCCAGGCTGGGGGACAGGAGATTGTTGGGTACAAGGATAAGATTATTTACCCTGAGGCCCATCAAACACCAGAGTAGGTGCCCAGAGAAGTCATGCAGTCTCCACCTGTAGAGATACAAAAAGCTCATCTGGCCTAAAGGCCCATGAGCGCGTGAACCTTCTGCAAGAGGTGGGATCAGAGACCTCCAGGGTCCTTTCCTACTTACATATCCTATAAACCAGTAAGTGCCAGTCTCCTAGGCCTGCCAGGATCCTCTGAGGGGACCATGACCTGCCCACATGCAGCTGATCTGGCATCCAATTTGGCACTTCAGAGAGCTTTTACCTAAGTGAGTCACCAAAGACTTCTGCTGTCCAGCTGTTACAGAGTAAAAGAGGCTTTTTTCAGAAATTAAAACCTTATTAAAATTAATTTTCTATGTAGTTCCCAAATGATCTGTGCTGATCAACATATAAAAGGGCAGCAAAAGAGGTGATTAGAGAGTTAAAATTTCCTGATAAGAAATTTCTAAGCATAATCAAAGCCAAAACTGATAGCAAAGGACAGGAGCAGCAGCAAGCAATGCATGTAAATGAATTCTGAAGGGGTAAAATCACTGTAATATATAGATACAATGACAGCTCCCACACCATCACAAAGCAGAAGAGTATTCATGGAGTCAGCATCAACAGCTTTCTAAAAATATCTAGACAATACTATAAAGAAATCAAAATCAGAATGTTAGAAAACATGATAGGAAAATAGAAAACACTACTTTCTAAAATTATGGGAAATCTATATCTTGAAGTGCACATAATATGGGGCACCATAACCCTAAAGAGAATACAGCACAACCAGAAAAATTCTAGGAAATAACATTAAAAACCACAGTGTGAAGCACATTTTTTATGAGGCTTTAAAGCTGCCAAGCATGATGACTGATGTGGGCATTACAGAGGTGAATCAAAACAGTAATGCCAAGAAGATGATAACAAATGAGGCTGTGCTTCTAGATATGAAAGTATTTTCTAATTATTTCCTCTTTAAAAAAGCTAGATTTGTAGGTCTCTTAAGCTTAGAGAGACTCTCATTAGCAAGTTATTTCTCTTTGACATTCCATCATATCTCTGTGAAAATGCAGATCATCTAATGAATGTACTGTATTCCCTGAATTGTATTCTTAGACACTTTGGGAAAAAATAATATGCTCAATATTATATGCTCAATATGTCAATTCTTTTGCTGGCTATTAAAATCTGGCAAAAATTGTATTCAAAGATAACAACAGAGGAAATATTTTCATCCTAGATGAAAGCTAAAGAAAGAAGATATTTTCATCCTAGATGAAAACTAAAAGCTCTTCCATAGCTATCAAAATCAAGGCTGCAAAATATAGTTTGCGAACAAATACACATAAATGTTACTCAATTCAGATGAACGGGTAGCTTTATATCAGTAAAATACCAACTTTAGGCTTACAAAGACAAATCAGTAATATTTTGCATATTCTACTCTTTTCACTTGTCTTTGTTGCACCAAACTAGATCACTAGCAAGTACTATGCACCATATTTGTTAATAAATCTGAGGATTTAAATGTATAACAAATTTTCATCATGATCAGCACACCCATTTCCAGATAAGTATACATATATTATACAGACAATATATTACCATGCACTGAAAACATTTTGACAATCATGTCTACACAGACAACATGTAGTTATCCAGATCTAAATTACTATAATTAATATACATAGTTATAGTGATAAACCTATATCCAAGCAATGAAAATAAAAAAAGTCCCTCAAAAGTCTCCCTGTGCTGAAGCAATAATGTTTACAGACACATGGCTCCCTGCCAGGCATTTATCAACCTGCCTGTGAGCTGCAAACAGATCCACTCGTCAGTGACTGCTGAGAAGAATGCTCACTTTGCTTTTTCTCTAATTAAGAGACCTTTCTCAGACAGGATGGTCTTGCTTAACTTTCTAAAAAAAACCACATGCAATATATTCAAACTAAAAAAGGAGGTAGTGCATGAGATTTTGACCACAACAATTTCATCTTACCAAAGCAGTTCGCCAATTCTAATTAGTCCTTGAAAAACCATCAGACAATTTTATTGTCACCAACCACAGTGAGTCTATTAAGTTCAGACAGAACAAAGTTTGAGCTTTCCACGACGGGCTGTGCTCCTAGCAGGAGGTGCTGTGCCTCCTCAACCTCCTGGTGGCCATCCCAAGATTGAACTGGGATGTAAATGCATCCTCTCCACTACCTCCTGCTGGCATCTGAGCAGGGGTCGTGCTACAGGCTTCATTAATGCGGAAAATCTAATTCTCTGCACTATCTGAAGGAATAAAGAACACAGAATAGGACCTTGCTTTCTGCCAGTGGATATAATGGCAAGAGGGAGAGGAGGTGGGTGGATTTCGGTAAGAGAAAATATTCTGTTGAAATCTGGTTTTCAGCTAAAAGATGCTTGGGCCTTATCATTCCCAGAAGCTTCCAACCTTCTCCAAGACATGAGAAGTACCTGCAGATGCATTCAGGTACACAGGTGGAATGCAAAAACCAATTTATTTTATGACTGAGCTGTGACACGCTTGTTCAGACAGCCTTTCTCAGATCTGGGAAATCAGTTTCATTTACAACCTGGCACTTCAACAAATTGCACAAGACTAAGCAGGCATAAAACCTGGTATGCAGCTGGGATAAGTGCCCCACCAATCCTCTGCCTTCAGATTTTATGGTTTCTGAGTGTTGTTATGGTGCCTAATGCAATATAGTTGGGAAATGCAGTTACGTTTTCAAGAACTGGTTTGGCGCACACAGAGTCAGGTGAGTCTGACAAAGCATCTAAGCAGCCATTAGATTCAAGTTTCAGCAAACCAACATGGAAAACAAATTCCAAATCTGTTGTTGGGCATTGTAACCATCTCATGCCATGTCACATCATGGGTGACCTGGTACTCCGGCTCGGTAATTAGTTAAGCATGACTGTAATATTTCTAACACCAACACAGATATTCATTCAATACTGTAATTATTCAGTGGATCCAGCATAGGAAATCATTACTGCTAATTAAGGATCTTGTTTAAAAATTCAAAAATCCAAAAATGCAAGATAACCTTAGAAAAAGATTCAGAACATTTACAGAAAAAGACAGACTATTTACTTATAATATTAAAATCTATAGAGTGCTCTGAAAACAAGTCACCAGTACAGGAATAAAACTACAAAATATTCTTTTTCACCTTTACTAGAGCAAGAATATGACAATGACAATGCAGGCAAGATAACTGTAATGATTCCACAGAAAGAGATTGCCAGAAACAGAACAAGGATTGTGGATATGTGCATGCACATGAAGAAACGTGACTTAAATCAGTTGAGGAATAATTTGGTTTCCACTGTTAGAACACTATTTTAATGCTGCGTTCAAAAACCATCAACAATTGTGACTTTTTTTTCTTCAACCTATGTTAGGTCTAATCAGGCAGCATCAGAATTCAGAGACAAAATCACAAGGTCCAAAGTTTGCTTAAGCAAAAAGGAAACATGGAAGACAGATACTACATGGGGGAAAAAAAAAAATCTTTTTACTCTTGCTGTTAATCTCATGCAGAACTCTTTCACTCACAGCAAAGAGAAAACACTCCCAGCACTGTCAGTTGAAGCAAGAATGACTATTTCCTGCTGAAAAGCTCAGCTTTTCATTCCTCTCTTTAAAGGCTGAACACATGCATAACAGTTGGATGAAATTATTTCTTCTGGTGTTTTTTCTCCTTAAACAAAACTTTCATCTTTTGAATATTTTTTACTGCAGGGAGGGAGAAAAAACACATATATTGATAAAAAGATATAAGGTTCAAGTGAACTTTTGAATTTTCCTGCATGATTCAGCAGAAACATAAATTTAAAGGTACAATACCTTTCTCTCAGAAAGTAACCTTTATTTTGGATTGAGGATTAAAAATATAATCTTAATCCATCTTTAGACATATTTCTTCCATGAAAAACAACTCATTTTATTCTCACAGTTGACACAGGGTTTCCAGAAAATCTGAAAGTTCTTCCTGACTTGCATATATATAAAAGAAGAAAGAAAATGGCCAAAATAACTAAAAAATTAGACAAGGACAATGAACAGAAATATCCAGTAAATTTTGGAGTGCTGCAGAAGTAGGTGAAAAGTTTGCATATGCATAACGGCTGGTCTTGAAGTACATAAAGGGAAAATAATTACTCAAAATCAGATTTTAATCCTCTGTGGAGTAAATTTCTTATAAACAGTGCAGACATCATCTGCACCCCAGATAAGTATGCTGGGAAAACATTCAGTGTTAATCTAATGAACATGCTTATAAACTCTACATCTAATTATTTTAAACGTTCTCTTCAATTCTAATACAATTGACAATACAATGAACCAGCATGCCTCATCCTGGAATACCAAGCACCTGCTCCAAGTACTGTATCTATGGAAGACTGGGAATCATAGTCAGACAGTGTGAGCAGTAAAACAATGTGCCTGGTGCAGATACAAAAGCTGTTGAAATATTCAGTGACTTTGCAGCAGAATTTACACACATACGCAGGTGAAGAGACTTACTGTAGCTATCTACAAAAAACTTTTGTCACACTACTAGAAATTCATCAGGTCTTTATATTTTGGCTATAAAAAGAACAAGCATAATACAGAATTTTATTTAGAATTAAAATTTAAAACCGGAACAGAAAAAACCAAAATGATGCAACTATGATGAATAAACGTGGCTATCACCACCACCTGATTGTCACAGTGACAAAGGACTGTATTGCACATCACATTTAAATTATTATGAAACCCCAGCTCCTGATTCTTTGACCAATCCCATTGAAAAAAAGTACAATATGTACAGATCTATAGGTTCTGCTAAGCAAATGATTAAAAGACCAACAACAGAAAAGCACACTTCTTTCATGCTGCCTAGTGGGAAGAATGTGTTGTTGTGGCATTGATTTTCCCTTCCTGCCCCCCATTTTTGTTACTGTCAATTTTTGAAAGTGAATGAGGTGATAGTTTTTTAATTAATTTGAAATGTTCCCAGAGTTTAAGACCTGTTCAAGGCAACCAATGTGTTGGTATATGCTGGACAAATGAAAAAAACAAAAATGAAAAGCAAAAGCGTATAGACAAGAAATGTTTATTGAAAAAGAAAATAAAATTAAAAGACAAAAATGGGTGGGAAGCACAGCACACAGAACTAAGAATTAAAAAAACATCTTACATTCTGCCTTAATGGCAGCACAGTTAATAGGGACAAAGGGACGTCGCGCTGCCTGCCGCAGCCGGAGGGTATTTTTGCAGACCTGCCGGGCCAGTTTTGTCCAACAGGTGGTGTGCAGAAAGAACGCCTGCCGCGTTTTCACCGCCGACTTGGGGCTGCCCGTGTTGCGCACCGGGGTGCCCTGCGTGGCCTGCCGCGACAGGTGCGTTCGGACATGCGGCTCCTGCGGGACAGAACACGGACAGCGTCACACACGGCTCGGCCACCGCACCCCAACAGCCCCACAAGTCAGGATAGCCTCAGAAAGGGATTCGGGACATCCGCAGGAAAAGAGAGACTATTCAGTTATAACATTCAAATCTACAAAGTGCACTGAGAACAGGTCACCAGATGATAGCACAGGAATAAAACTACAAAATATTCTTTATTGCCTTTACTAGAGCAAGAATATGACAATGACGATGCAGGTAAGATCACTGTAATGATTCCACAGAAAAATATTGCCAGAAACGGAACATAGATTGTGAATGTCTGTGTGCACATGAAGAAATGTGACAAATTAGTTGAGGTATAACTAGGTTCCCATGGTTAGAACATTATTTTAATGCTGTGTTCAAAAACCACCAACAATTGTGACTTTTTTTTCTTCAACCTATGTTAGGTCTAATCAGGAAGCATCAGAATTCAAAGAGACAAAATCACAAGGTCCAAAATTTGCTTAAGAAAAAGAACGTAGTGTCTGTAAAAGACAGACACTTCTTTTTTCCCCCTGTAGTGTCTATGAAAGACAGACACTACAGGGGGAAAAAAGAAAAGTCTTTCTACTCTTGCTGTTAATCTGATGTAGAACCCACAGGAATACATGAATAACCTGTCTAAGCACTTTACAAAAAACAGGCCTGTGCAGGAAGCCACAGAGCAGACAACTCTATTGAGAGTGGATATATAAATGCCATCCTAAATGATATGTTGTATAGTAGATTTAACATTTCAGAGATAACACACCATTTGACAGACAAAATGACATGTGTACACCAAAAATGCAGGAAGCACATGCTTGTTTATACAAGAAGTAGTCAAAGATATGGCAAGGCCTAAGCACTGTACAGTTCTACTTAACACAGAAAAAGGATTAAGTAATTTAGTTTTGTAATACCAAAGTTGAACACATAAATGAAAACCATTCCATTAAATAATCAAATCACAGCAGTCTTGTGCAGGCACCACGTTTTGTTTTAGAAAAGCTTGTCTACACAATCCTACCTCTGTAGGTTGGCTGGATGACAGCTTATCTTCATCTGTCTGTGTGGGCATTTTCAGGCCACCATATTTCTTCCAATAAATCCAGCAAGATGCACACAACCTACATTGCATATTGGGAGGGCCCCAAGAATACCATTGGTGAGACTGCGGAGCTGGGGAGGAGAAAGTAGCACAGGTGAACTGGTGCAAGTTAAATTCACTGCAATCAATCCAAATGCTGTAATAGATTATTATATACAGCCATAACACATGGCAATAGCAGAGCATTGTATGGATAAATATTTAATATATTTCACACTGAAAGTAAGAACTTCAATTGTTTGTTGCTTTATTTTTTTACAAAAGTGCCAGAGAGGTGAACTCTAAATGGGAATTTTGGAAATGCTTCTAAAATGAATTTCAAAACAGGGACTTTGTATTGCTGATATTTTCTCCCAAAGGACTACCAGAAAAAAAAAAAAAAAACCAACAAACCCACTATTTCTAATCTCACCCTGGAAGACAGGCTAATTAAGTTGGATTTTATATCTGCTCTCATATAACCTCTGTTGAGGGCTGCTATTCCAAAAAGTACAACAGAAATTATCACATAAATACTAGAAAGAAACAATAATCCTCCCCATCTTTCTCAACAACAACAGAGGGGGAAAAACATACCAAAACCATTCAAAGAAAAAAAACCCTCAAAAACCCTGCAGCCTTAAAGAAAAACCAAAAATAAATTTGAATCTAGCTTTGTGAAGGTAAAGGAATAATAGATCAATGCCATCATATTACACTACTTAATCTTTCTGTGCTTTATGAATTGTTTAAAATAAATCATCAAGAAATTTGAATACTTTAATTAATATACTGAAGGCAGTTCTAACTTAAAAGATATTTCTGCCATAAGAGCAATTGCAAATTATCCTCTGTCATATCCTAACAATATTACATATCTTTTTTTTCTAACAGCACATATTAAGATTCACCCAAATTCTTGAGTCATTAAAAAATATATTTACTTACTATAGCAGCTTTCACAAGCCCGACCTATTACTGTGGCTTGCGCCTGGTAAGAAGCTCCCATTGCTCCGTTGACTGCAGCAGGTTTCCCATTGTTGCTGGATATTTGATTGGGATTTGGTTTATTGCTTTAAATAAATTTTTTTAAAGGTTGCAAAAAAAAAAAAAAAGTGGTTTTATTAACTGGTTAGTTAACAGGAAGACAAACAATCTAATTCTGGAAATCTGATGTGTGCAGACAACATCTATAAAATCTTCTCTAAACAACAAGAGTAATTTTTGTACTCCTCTATTACTTTCAGCATTGTCATACACTTGCTATGTTAGGAGCTGCTCTGACAGTCCAATTTGCAGCTTTTACTGTGCTCTGATTGTCTAAGCTGCTTGGAAAGCTCATAAAAGACCAACTCTCAGGGGTCAAAGCATTAACAAAACTCTGACACAGCGTGGAATTTAAGAAGGTGGTTGTAGTCAACAGAAAAGGTTTACGAGTTGAGGATGGACTTTGAGCGAAGTATAACAAGAGGAGCAACAGTGCCTGTAATACCACAAGGTTTTTGATCCCAGGAAAGGGTCAAATAGCCTCCTGTCTGAAAAAGAAGTACACACAGTAAAACAAATGTCTTATAACCACAGCAAAACTCACCCATATATCTGGTTGCTCTGTCTCAGTTCTCTTCTAAATTATTTCCTGTCTGAGAAGGCTAACTGTTTTTTGGATATTTCTGTTTGGCTTTTGAATATTATTGTACTATATCATTCTCATAATTATTCTAGCTTCTAATACTTTAGTGAAGTAGGACTTTACAGGTCAATTAATTCAGAGAGCATTAATATAACTCCTCACTAAGTGCAATATTTCCAGAGTTTCAACTTTGTGAGTGTTAATTACCCTCAATACAATGCAAGGTTGGATACATTGATTCCTAAGATAATTATTTGTCATTTTAGGCAGCATAAAATACATTAAAGAAAAGTTAAAATGACAATTGAAGAAACCTTTGCTGTATCAAGTCTCTGTCTCCTGCCTTTTCCTTTTTCACCGTATCAGCAAGAGACAATTTTACAACTTCCAATATTCTTTATCCTGGGCTCAAGGTACAGAAGAAAAGCTTGAAAGACAATTAAGTCTTCCACATTATGATCTGTTGCTTAGTTACCTTTCAGAAATGCCATGAATTGAAAGGGACTCTCTGGAATTAAGGAGAGAACCTTGCAATTTCAGGAAATACCTAATGATCAAGTTCAAAAAGGTACTCAGCTCTGAGAATCAATTCTGCTCAGATTTCAAATGCAATAAATGAGTCTTGAAGCAGAGCATTTAGCAATCCCATGACCACCACAGATACCAAAGCCTTGAGAAGTCCTACCATCCTCCTGCTGTTGACTAGGGATTTTGTCTTGAAATGGAGGCAAAAGACAGGCAGTAAGATAAAAATACAAAAATCCCACACTTTGTCATCCAATACAGCTGGTCCCTACTGTGAGCTAATTGAAAATCCATAATTGTCCACACAGACCAAGGAAATTAAATTGAAATGCATAATGTAAAGTCTGAGCATCTTACGGTTTTCCTAAAGCAGCCACTTATCTGAGAAGGTTAGGGAACACTCATACTAGAGGTTTTAGCTTTTTTTAAACAGTGTGACTTGTTAGAGACGTGAGCTTCAAAACTCACAAAATTTGTTCTGAGATAAGCTTAAAATACATTTAACAGTCTGCTGCTTTCATTGTAACATCTGTTTAAGAGAGAAGCCAGTATGAAATATGAAAACGAAGCTCTATTGTATGTAATTTATACAAGCCATCAAAAATCTTTGTGAAGTACTTCCTTTGTTATTACATTCTTCTGTTATACAAGCACTCACAACAATTGGAAGTTCATATATGAAGTAAACTGAATATACGCACAGAAAGCTTAGAAAAAGGTGATTTGGAATCCTTTCTCTTGTCATAATATTGAGGAAATTATGAATATGTAGGAGGGATTTTATCTTTTTTCTACAAATCACATGTTAACAGGAGCAGACATAGCATCCAGTTTAAAAGAAATACAGATCAAAAACCCCTCAGAAGAAAACAAGATTGCATTAGTAGCACGTGGTCAAAGATAGAAGATCTGGGGTTGCGTGCTACCTTTAATTTAGAACCAGAACATCTCTTGTCTCTAGATGAAGAACAGATTATATCAGCCAGATAAAACTGTAATGGGAAATTATCTCATTTTATTTTATGTAACTACATTAAAAACTACTTCTACTTTGAAATATTGCATTTACACAAATATGAAGTGTTGTGCTACAGGGATTTGGAAGAGGTTGTTTTGTAACAACTGCTTTTTTGATTAATAGGCTCTTCTTGGATGTGAACAGACCACAGGTAGCACTTGATCAGCCTTTGTAAAACTTCTTATTCCAGACAAAAAAAAATTGCAGGTCAAAACCAAAGATCAGTAAAGTAAGAAAGTTTCACTTAAAACAAGAGTTTCTGGCATTTTCGGATTATATCTCTGACTATAATAAATCCTGTAAAAGTAACCATTAGAGAGATGACTAGGAAAATAGCATGCATGTAACTGCATGTTACTGTTTCAATTTTACCTGTATATTATTCAAAAAATGAATTTGTTGTTATACTCACTAGGTGGGGATGTATACTTGTTTCAATTTACTTTCTGCTTCAGCTGCTTTCAGACGTTTCTAGTTGAAAAATGAACACATTAAAATACTTTATTACATTAAGGTATGACATTTCATAAAACTGCACACAATACATCTTTAAATTATTTCTGTTTTGTGATTTCAGAAAAGCTTCCTAAACAAGCATAGAAATCTACACAATGAAAATCACGAAAAACAAGCTCTTGATTTTTAGTATTATTTTGAAATCACAATGTGTTGTCTTTCCCAGTAAAACTCACAGGCCTCACATATGACAACAAAACTGTAAAAATGATAATGACAGTTTACATAAGTCACATCTATATAAACATGTATGACACTGTGGCTGCCCCTCATTGCAGAATTAAGTAGAAATTAAATGAATGAAATTGTGTTCCTCACCAGTCACGCAACAGAACTTGTCTGCTCTGTCCAGAGTGAGGCTGAGCTTTTATACCACAGTACTAGTAGCAATAAAGTCCACTGAGTCTTAGAAATAACTAAACACTTTCTAGCATTAAATGCCATCAAAACTGTGGCTCAGGAACATCACAGTAACAGCACAGCTATACTACTGTCAACATAGTCTGTGAATTTACTAAATCATTACTTTCTTCATTCGGGCAACAAACTTAAACCATTTTGCATTTCTATAATGTTGAGAATTTTTAGTAATTGCCATTTATTATACAAGTAACTAAGAAAACAATTTTTTCAGCAGTGGCACAAGAAATAGAGAGTTCAGGTGTCTACAGGTTTTCCAAAACATTTGTATGTAAAAGATGAAGAAAAAACATTATTTCCCTGCATTTTCTGTACTCAAGACATTACTTCTATTCACTTGAGAGAAAAAAAGAAAAAGTAAGAGAGAAAAGAATTTGAATCACAGTCAATTTCATTACAGAGGATAAAAAAAAGGAGGGGACAGATTTATAGTCGGCAATAATAAATCAGTACTACCTGTCTTTATAAGGTGATTAAAATTCAGTCCTTCATTTCACCTGCAATAGCCACTTCTCCTGTCTGCTGTACTCTTATTTTTTGATATCCAACTTTTGCAAGGTTTATAATCCAGGAAAATATTTCCCACCTTGAGAAAACTATCATGAGATGACTCTGCTCTGAGGGTCCCTTGCCTGAGCCATGAGGTAAGTTACAGAGTAATTCAGCTTTACTGGCCCAGCAGTCTGACTAAACCTCCTGGTGTAAACTGCTGTTCTTCTCCATTTCATTAAGTTGCCTCTGTGTGGTCCATTTATAAAACTCTCACTTATAAAATTGCATCTTTAAGGAGTAATGTGTAACAAATAGACTTCGAATCGGTACATGTCACCATTAATTAATTCCTGTGCAAGGAGAGTGCTCCTCCATTTATCTCCAAAACAGGTTTGGTGGGGGTTTTTTTCTTTTTTTCTTACAGCTTTTTGCTGTTCACAGATGCCCAGTTTGGAGCTACAGAAGTGAATCCCATTGACATTGCTGGTACAGTTGAAATCTTTCCCCAGTGCCAGACCTGGCAACACTGCTCTATCCTTAGCAGGCCCACAGAAAAATGCAAACAGGTCTGCTCTGCCTGCTTGGGTCAGTTTTTACAAGAGCAAGGAGAAAGAACAGCAGCAGCACCATGCCCCAAGTCTCATAAACTGGTAGTTTTTAATCTGAAAACATTTCACAGATCCCAGTGGTGAACTCCTTCTGCTTAACTGCAAGACACAGGTTTTCCACAACTGTCTCTCATTCCTTTTCTTATTATATCCAACAATACAGAACTTGTTTGCAGCCTGACAGAAGAATGTGAAACTGCCAGGCAGTGGGTTACCACACATTCCTCAGAGCTCCCTAACAAACTGGTCCACTCTACAAAAATGAGGAAATCTCACTGCACACCTACCATAAGCAAAAGAGAAAATACAATAAAGGGCAAAAAAGGATGAAAGTAGCCCTGAAGCAGTGTCAGAATGTAAAGGCATATGTAGGAAACTGTATTAAGCCCAAATGGCAGTGTCAATGAGAAGTGACTATATAGACATTGATTAAATTTTAGCATACTTTTAGTACTGGCATGGGAGTTGTAAGGAATGCAATTTAACAATTGCTTTTCTCCTTTATTTACTAAAGGGAATTATATACTGTCTTCTAAAAAATAAATGATGCAATGACATTTCAGTATAAGCTACATTTTTGTACACTCAAATTATGGCTACCATTGGTCTCTAAAAGCAACAGAACATGTCACAGCTTGAATTCTCACTGACATACCAACTTCTAAGTACAGAGAGAGAGGAAAGGACGCAGAAAGAAAACTACCAATAATTGCAGTTTCTGAGATTAAACTCTGTCTATTGAAATCTAGAGACAGAAGTGGTAAAAGCTGGAGGCTGAAACTGAAAATATTTAGACAAGAAACAAAGCACCAGTTTGTAACAAATCCCTGGAGCAATGTAATAAATTACTGGAGCAATGTAACAAAGATAGCTGATGCTTTACCTGGAAAAAAATTTACATCTTAAACAGTATTTCAAACAGGTCTTACAGACTGCATTGCAGGGGAGGTCAGAGTATACTAACCCAGTTTTTCATGGGGTCTAATGCTAGCACTGAAAATTAATGTTTGTGGGTTTTAAGAACTTTTGTTAAGCATATCTACTTACAAATATCCCAAGAACTGACCACTTTCCTAAATTAGTCCTGTTTTCAACAGTGGAAATAAATAAATGAGAGGCTAATGTATTATACTGTTGCAGAAGAACAATATAGCCACCATTTAATGTGCTCACTCTTTCCCTCTTACGAAGTCTCAATAAAGTCTTTTCCCATTGAATCTGACTTTCACAGAGAACACCACAAATAAGTTTTTATTCAGTAGAATCCATCAATCAAACCTGGCCTTCCTCAAACACTGTACATAACACAGGGGACATGAGAAGTGCCCTATCACCAGGAATGATTACCCAAGGCTGAATTAGTTTTGCTAGACAAATTCAGAGAACTTTAACATATCTTCCCTTCAGTTTGACTTGAAGGGAAGATGTTCTCAAAGCAAGGTGGTAGCAGTACCTCCACTGCCATTAAATCACCACATTTATAACCTAGCAAGAATAACATTTAGTAAAAATTATGATAAAGAAACCATTTTTAGGCCTGACACAACACATCCTATTCACACAAAGAAATAAAGATAACTAAAAGCAGTGTCTTATATTAAATCACACTGATCTAGAACTCAGAGATTGTATTTTAAGATTCAAGTATGTGCACTGACCTTTTTCATCTTCCCATTCCCACAAGTCCCCCTGCCCCTCAAACATGAGATTTAGAGAAGAATGACTCTGAAATTTCCACTTTATTACTGAATACATTTTCTCCCTGAACTACACTCAATTATCACTGCTTGTTCTTTTTGGGGAAAAAAACCCCTACAGATATTGTTTTGACTGAATGGTATCAATTTTTACCATTCAAAAAAGAAAAAAAAAACTAAACACAGGCATGATGAAGTTCTGATCCCTTCTTAGGAAGGATTATAGAAATGTTAACCAGGATTAAAATTAAACATTTGGCCTACACTGGTTTTATTACTGAAGATCACATACCCTGAAAGAACATGGCTAAAGAATTCCATCCTGAGTGTATTGCCATGGTCTGAGTAGGATGTTGGAAGTTTATTTAGTTACAAGTAGAACACAGGCATTTACCAGAGCATTCAAGTTGCAGATAACCATAAAGCCTATGCGATTTTTCTGTAAAAACCCTAATCCTGTGAAAGGATATGCAATCTTAACACATACACTTTGATCATTGTAGCAATAGAATCATAATGAGCTCTAAAGAACTACAAAAGGAATCTTAGTCTTTCACCAACTACTCCAGAACAAGTATTTCAGAATAAAAGCCACATTTTTATCTGATTCTTAAAGATAATCTGTTGCCCAGCCATTAAGAACTGACAAGATACACAGCAAATCTCTGCTGACAGCACCTCTCTAGGATAAAAATCAACAGTGGGGAAAAAAAAGGGGTTTGAAGTGAAAGGAATAGTGACAAACCTAGAAAAACATGCCTTTATAGGGAACATATTATATTCTATTTGTATTATCCATAGAACTAAATTGTCCTAGTGATACTCCAAGACACTACCATGCAGTATTTTACTGCATGGTAGTAAAACTCCTGTCCCTTACTTAACAAAATGATGTAGAAACAATTTCAAATAAGCCAGAACAACCTGAACTAATCATCCCTCTGACACATTTAATTTGAAACAAGTCCAAAGATCCATCTAATTTTACAGCTGTAGTTATTACAGCATAAAAATTATTTTCAATACACTGTCCATAACATCACCATCAATTATGTGGCAAATAAAGCAGGTGCTAGCTTAAACATTAAATTCACAATTAAAATGGAGCCTTTAAAAGTATTTTATGGTCTAAACCAAGGAGTAAATACAAAAGGAGTACAATATATAAAAAAACATCAACACTGACATTTTGCCTAAACCTGCTAAAAACATCTCAGTATTGGTACCCAACATAATCTTGATGTGTTTTTGCTCCAGAGCAACCCAAACAGTCGAACATTCAATCAGAAGGATGAACAAAACCACTGCGTGCAGAATGGTCTCAATTTTGAAATGCTGGCTATGCCAAAGTAATGCTTTGTCCAGAAGCACCAATTAAGGGTTCATAACACCAGCAGCCACTGTAACACAATGGATTTTGTGCTTCCTTCAGTCCCATGGCAGAGCTTCACAGTCTAAAGCATTTGCTCTGCAGCCCATTTCCATCTGATCCCCTACTGAAGGAGGAACCAGGAGTCCTGCTGCTTCAAACCAGCATAAAATACAAATAGGCTAAAGGATTCAACAATGCAGCCTGTAACACCACTGGTCTATACCCCAAAATATTACCTTAGGCCTCCCATCATGTATCTTTTCAAGAACACAAACAGATTTTTATGGTTTAACAAGATCACTTGTTTAAAGAATGTCTCAGACTGGTTCACTCTTAAATAGTCATTGAATTACCTGCTGCACATATCTGTCAGTGGTTTTCCACATGTAGTAATACTCAATGATGCTAGTCAGCGACTTCCAAGGCAGCTGAAAAACATTTGTTACAAGTTAAAGTGGTTCCAAGAAATTGCAATGCCCACTTCTTATTAAACACATGTTAAAATCAAGTATAGTTGAGACAAATACTAAAATCTGGATGTGTTAAATAACTGCATTAGAATCCATATGCAAAAAACCACATATTGCAATTAATAATACACAACCATTAACAAGTATGCAGAACTACGGTATCACACATCCAAATCCAAATGTAATTTATTCTGTTTAAGCCACATAGTTAAACAAAACGATCAAAACAGAATATAGATTTCCATCAGGAAACACAGAAGGCAATATCTCTTGTAAAGTGTGTCCGTTGGAGAATAACATTAGGACCAAAAGAAATCATCTTGACAAGACTGTGCTTGAGTCTCATGATAATTTTACTCTTAAAAAATACAAAGGATACCATACATAGCTCAGATTTTTCATGTCCCATAACAACTCAGCTGCTCATACATTACCACTAGTTTTGCATAAACTCCCACATGCTCTCAACTATTATCAAGAAACAAAAGGATGCGAGGGACAAATGTTACCCCGAGCAACACGAGTGATACTGACAATAAATATTTCACAAAAATCTCTGTACAAACAAGGTGCCTTTGATAATGACAATTATTTTGGGTGCCCACGTTCACCAGTAAAATAAAAATGTGTTAACCTAAGTGTAGGGAGAAAATTAGGCAATCATTTCTAATTATCACCAAATAATCTATTTAACTCCAGAAGGTCTTTCTATAATTTAAATTAGGATGTCTCATTGAAAATTTATGCAATTTTTCTTCATAACTTGGAAACGTAATTTGTGTGTTATATTTTCTAGAAGCACACATTAATGCAAATATTATCTGCTTTCTAGAAATGAGGATGATGTTTAGGATGTTCCAGAAAATACAGGTGTGGAAACTGATCTTTCCAACCATCCTGACCCCACTAGGCAGCTTTCTGCATGTTTTAAGCCAAAAGAAGAGTTTCCTGCACCTTTGGTTAAATTCCTAAACCACCAGAGAAACATCTTTACAAACTCCTCTCCCTGCATGCAGGAGCTGACTACAAAAGGAATTTTTCAAGCTGCTTGATTCAGGTTCAGAGTCAGTAGTGTTCCACAGTGTGTGAATCCTTGAACATTTACATTTGATCCAAAAGCAGCAGCGTATGAAATGCTTATGCTGATGTCTCAATAGGAACACAATTCAGGTTCCTAAAATCTTTTTGCTTTCTCAGGTAAATTAAGCCTTGAGAGAAATCTTCCCTCAAAAAGGCCAGTGACAGGATGTGTTTGATGTGAGGTGACAAATAAAATGATTCTCAGTCTTCAGGTCCACATTCCCCCTGGCATCCAGGTAAAATGCTGTCACCCCCAACTACCTGCCATTGACAATTAGTGCATTTTAGCATACCCATATTTAATTTCCTTTCTGAATATTTATTAGCATGTTCATGCTACAAATGTTTGTAGCATGAACATGCTAATTTATCTAGAAAATACTTTTATCTATTTTAACTATGGCTGTGGCACCAGTATGTTTATTTATTCACTAGGTATTTACAATTAAAGGAAGGTAATTAGGATGCTTGGACCAAATAACTGTAATCCTGTTATACTTTGATTCAAAACTTGGAAAAGCTGTTTGGCAGGCTGAGTATGGACAACCTGTATTCCATTTACCTATGCACTTAATGCTCTGAACTGCCAGTGAAGCTGTGAACCACAGATTAATACATTGTCATTACCAAATTCTGTTCTTGAAAGAAGTAAATATGCTCATCTGCACAACATTTTTGAAGGAGAAAATTAGCAAAAACTATCAGCTCTACAAAAACAGAGAGAGGGGAGTTTTACATTTCTTTAGTTTCCCCAGGCTAAAAATAGACCAATCAAATTAGATCAGCAAGAAAAAATTAGGATTATAATGAATCCTAAAATGCACATGGTAATTTTAAGGCATGTTTTCACAATTTTCTAAAGCTGGAAAACAGTTGCTCCTGCTTTCTATAAACAGTCTCTATTCTTGATTACTAAGGCCTTTCTTGCCATATCTGAGACGAAATAGTTATAAATTTGTGAAAACTGTTGATAACGAAAAACTAAGAATTAACACGTATATCATCTTTGTTTTACTTTTAGGGAAATAGTTACATTTGGAGAACATAGAATATCCATTCTTTTTCCATTCTACTACTCTGGGATGTGAAATAATACAAGCACATCAAGTAAATTGAATTAGCTTATAAGGTTTAGCTTGATTAGGATTCACACAGAGTCTTAAAGATAGAAGAACCTCTCCTACAAGAGTCAATGCATCAACAGTTGATGAAAATTATTATTCAACAGCTAGACCGGTAACTTGATTACAATTGAGCATCTCCTAGCCATGAAAAAAACATAAAGACCTTTACACCATTTAACTTATAACAATCTTGTTTACTAACATTTAGTGTTTGTAGCTTAATACTTGAGCTGCACATTGAACATCAAACAGTGGCAGTTCCCAGTAACTGCTGGAAAAGTAAATTAATCTGCCCTTTACAGAACTGTCATGTAAGGCAGTCATGTAAGGCTGCAATTGCAGCAGCTGTGCCCTGCAAATCTGGGCCGCCACAGAAAAGGCAACTCCTGTGGGATGTAATGACTCAGGCAGGTACCACATCACCCTTCTGCTTCAGCAGACTGCTACCAGCCCCTTTCTGCTATGCAACATGACTTTCTTGCCTGTCCTGTGGCATGACAGCATGACAGCTGAGGTTGGAGTTCAATCTCAGGCACTGCAGATCTAGTTTTATCATTAGATCCTACCTGGAGACCCAAACAAGTTCACACGTACACTATCAGCCCATTGTCTTCTTTGCCCTTGCTCTTACAACACATCCAAGACTACTTAGATACTTATCAGACGTAAACTTATCAATGGCTTGCCACTGAAGAGAGGGAGGATAACAGATGAAAGTACTATGGTGGAAAATCACTGCTTACATGCTACATAGTTCTACCTACCTCACCTTGCAGGAACTTTTCACATATTCGTGATCTAAATCTCCAAGGACTATTTTCGATGATTACTTAAAAAGCAAATGTGTGTTTTCAAATCCCTGCACTTTTAGACTGCTACATAGGAAGTGAGAACACATAAATTTTACACTAGAGAAATTAAGAAATCCCAAGACTACACAATGGCTAACATAATTGAAAGCTTTCAAATTACATAGAATTAAATAAAGATTGTGCACTGTTCTTAGTACCATATAAATTGAGATATAAAATAGATGTTCTTCTAAGAATGTTTTTACAATAACATTTTTCTAAAGATTAAAAAAAAAAGTGACTAATAGATAATATCCCTGTTCTAACTAAAATAAGCTATAATAATTAGTGTCCCACATCCATTTGTGCTGTACTGACTCATGGTTAAGGTTTCCTCAGTAGGCTATGCAATCCTATCACCAGATCTGGGTGTGTCTCCTGCTCTGGGAGGTGATCAGGGCAAAATAGCTGCATTTTGGGAAGGAATATTTAGTGAAAGAGGGCTGGTATTGGTACAAAATTTTATCAGGGTATCCAAGACAAAATTTTAACATTGTAAACAGTTTCTATGCAAGTCATTCAAATATCTAGCATTTGAATATTACAAATGCAGAAGCAATTCTTGCGACACATTACTACACTGCACCACTTTAATGCAGTAGCAGGTAACACAAAATTTATACAGAAAATAAAAATACCACATAAATACCAGAGACAAGCCTTCTGAATGCTTGGTCACAAATTGTGTTAGGACACAACTTGTAAACAGCCAATAAAACATGTTATATGCTTAGGGCATTTTCAAAAGCCTAATATTATATATTAGGAACCATTTAATTAGAAGACATAGCTCCTGAACTATTGTACACTTACAAATGAGACCCATTTGTCTGTATAAGAAATAATAAGGAAGCCAGTTTGCCTTAAGATTTCTGTTCTAAAATACCTATAAATATTGTTTTCCAGTAATATTTTCTTGAAGTTAAAAGAGCTGTTTCAGCCATGATGCAATGTTCAACCTTATGTCATCAATGTAATGAACATTTTCTCCCTTAGGAATCTCAAAATTAAGCATGCAGATGTAATACACCTCTTAAAATGTCAGTTCCTTAGAAAAACAATAGCCTTCACTTCCCACCTTCATTCAATTACCTGTTCCATTTCAAATCTGTGAAAATGAAGGAAAGACAGCTCAATACCAAGCCTCCTCCCACTGTCCTGTAAGGACTTCTGCATTTACCCTACATTTTTTCCCCCCTCACAAAGACTATTAAGACTATAAACTTCTGTAAAGAAAATTTAAAAATATGAGTTCTCAGAGTCATGCAGTATGAGATGAATGTGAAAATGTTTCAATCGACTTCAGTTCCAAAAAGTTCAATTATTTTGGTTCAAATCTTAACTTTTTCATGAAACCCAACTTGAACATGGTACAACAGAGGAAATACTTTTCCTTGAAAGGAAAAGGCTCTCCATAAAATGTGAAAAAAATTGCAGCAAATTGCTAGCAACTCTAGCAATCCATTTAATTTCATTACTCTGCATTAGAATTAGCAAATTAAAGGTTTACTGCCCTATAGTCTGATACTTCAGTACAAAAATGATTGTAGTTAGAACATATTGGAAAACATTTCTTTTACTTTTCAGAACTGCCAAAACATCTAATATGTCAAAACAACTCCCTGTGGTACATTTTAAAACCTATCTGAATTCCAATTTCTCTCTGCTAATCATAGCAGGAAACCCCAGCTTTCCAAAAACACCCAGGAGAGTCAGCCATGTAGCTGCTAATGAATTTCACTGGAAATTGTGGAAGCACACTGCAAAGCTCCTGGACCCTTTTCAGATGCTTGTAAGATCCTTGTAAAAATCCTTATTGGAGTGTCTCAGCGTGAGACATCCTACCTGATATTAAACCACAAAAAAGATAACCTTCTGTCACCATCTTTCCAAACAACAGCAATGAACAAGAAAGCATATTGACTTTCAGCCAGATAAAATGTATAGATATGTTAATCACACGTGTCAGCTACACAGATTTCTCCCCTAGCTAAACCTTCCAAACCTACAGAAAGCAACTACGCTCAACCATGGCAAAACACAGCTCCAGGAAAGGGCACTGCTTTCATACTTACAAAGTCTTGTCGAATGTCATTGAAGTCCTTGCCGTACTTTTCCAAAGCCTCTTCAAATAAGCTAGCTTCTGATGCTGACCACTCCTCCATTTCATCTCTACACAAGACAGGCCCTCCCAGAGGCACCAGGACACCAACGGCACTGCTCAGGTCATAGTTGTGCTTATGCAGTGTGTCCATTGCATGAAACTGGCAGGGACAAGCAGAGAATAAAGACGTGTTTAAATTAACGCTAGTCCATCTCAGTTAATGCAAATTCAATGTATTATTCTCTATAAACCAAGCAAGGAGCCTCAATTAATGCTAAAATTAGAATCTATCTTGATATTGTATTTTTCTGCTGTGGAATATGAGGAAAATAAATGGTTTATTACTTAATCTGGGAAAGGAAATACCTTGATAAAATGTTTACCAAAAATGACATTAGTTCCTGAAAATTACTAGCAAACATTTCTAAAGAATCTCTTGTTGGCAGAAACTGGTTCCGAGAAACCCAATAAAGACAGTGGCATATATTGACTGTCCATTTTCAATTAACAGAAGCTCTAAATAATAACTAAACAGCTGCTCAGACATCTATGAGCCCAATATTCTCATTGCTGGAGAAGGAAGACATTTATTGTTTTCATTATCATCATACTAAAAGAGCAGCAAGATTTTTGTCCCTTGCTCAACACTCCTATCACAGACTGGTAAATAAGGTTTCTTTGGTTGATTCCCTTTCTGTTATAAAAGGGAAAAACAGAAAACAAACAAATTAGAACAATCTTCCCACTGTAGGTAACACTGAATGCTCCCATTGGTAACCAATGATGGGGAATACAAAAAGTAAACAAATCCAACTGTTGGGAAAATGAGCAGCACGCAAGAAGCATTTCCGACTCAGGGTCCCAAAAGACCCCAGCAGCACAATCCAACTGGCTGTGCTGAAGGAGATATCAGAGCTATAAGTGTGATAATGTCTGGGACTCTATCAGTCCCCTCCCAATGTGTCTCACCACAGTGCTGAGCTCCACGTGTAGCATGCAAACTCTCACAAGGCCACAAACCCAGCTATGGAAAAAAGGAAGGAGCATTCCTGCATTGTGTGCCAGTAGAGCAATTCCAGCTGAGCTTCTGCATACAAATCTAGTGCAAATAATGTATTTTTCTTGTTTTTTGCCATCTTCTAATCAATTACTATTGTCTTTCCCCAGTGTTTACTATAAGTTTTTGAGTGCTATCAAGCATCACACATTCTGGAACTGTTTTGTTCTGCAAGAAGCAATGTCACTATTATCCTGCAATGCATCATTTTACTTATGGTTCAATCAAATTGACCAGCCTGGAGAAAAGCCATTGTTAAAATCAAGCATTCTTATAGTAAAGTATGTAATATAATGCCTAAAATCCATCAGCTTCATATTAGAGAATGTACATTGAAATCACTGATTTATTATTTACTATTCAGGCAAATGAGTAAACCAGGTCTAAAGATTGAACTCTTACAGTAGATGTGCTACTGAGGTTTAAATCTGTTTAAACTGCAACCCTCATAGAAAAGCAGTACACACAGGATGTCTTCCAAGCAGTTGCTGAATCCAGATCTATTCACTGATACCAACTTTCATAAAAACAGCAGAAGTGAATACATTGGACTCTTGCTCTTGCTTTATGTTCATTTTTCATCTATAATAAACACCTGACTCCATAACGCTTTTTTGATATTACTAAAGAAAAGATTTATACTGAACTCTGTGGATAATTACTGCCTTCCCTGAGCTGTCCTGTGACAGAAGACCACTGACAAGTTCTTTGATAACAACTCTGCCTTCTACAGGGTTGTCAGCCCTGCCCTGCATCAAAGTTCCACACTGCAATGCAAATTGTGGTAGTAAAAGCATGAGAAGCCTGAAGGCATTAGCAGAGGCTAAGAGAAAAGGTCCTAGGATATCTTCCTGGCATTGCCTCTCCCAAGCAGGAGCCTGAAGGACAGAAAAAGAGCCACCCTTCCCAAAGAACTCTTGCCCAGAGCATGCTGTTCAGCACAGACACAGGGACACATCAGAGGAAAAGTGTTAGCCATGCAGCTAAACGGCAACTTCAAGTCCAAATATAAGCAGGTAGAGGAAGAAACTTTCCACCAAAAGCTAAGGAAGGGCTGCATGGAGCTGGAAGAAAGGGCATGAGAGGGAAGGAGTCCTGCAAGCAGCCACACAGCACAGCTCCCAAATCATCTGCCATTCCAGAGTGAGCTGCATGCATCAAAGCACTCAAACTGGAAACAGAGAGTGGATTCTGAATTCAATCATACTTTAAGTGTGTTTACCTTAGGAGCCACATATATGGAAGTCTAATAAAAATCATTAAAGAGATACAATCCAAAATGCAAAAAAAAACAAAAAAAACCCCAAAAATCTGCTCATACTTTTCATTTGGAAGAGACATCCAATATCAGATTTAGGTCCCTACAGTAAGGTCACTTAAGCTCTTCTGAACAAACCCAGCACAAGGAGCAAGTGATGCCCTCAGCCTGCTTTGCTTTAAATGGCTTTCATGGTGAGTATATGCACCATAAAGTATTTAGGAATCTGAAACACAAGGTCTTCCAAGTCTCTTTCTCTTCTTAGAGATCAATTTTCATTATAAAATAAAACTCTGTCTTTGAGAAGGCCAGAAATGCAAGTTTCAGTTGGTTGTCTCACTGTAAGAGAAGCCCCTTATCATCTAAGAAGGTAAACACACATTGTTTCACATCTTCTTTAGGGCTTTCTAAAAGCAGGGAGTTTCCTATCTTGTCTCATTGCCTTCCCTATGTTTTCCAAATAAAGGAGCCTGAAAGCAGCCTCTCAGTTGTTATGCATCTGCAAGAAATGTGTACATCAGCCCTGGATTTATCTACGTTCATTACCTAGGTTTTTGGGTTTTGTTTTGGTTTTGCTTTGTTTTGTTTTTCTTATAATATCACTCTGTTTACAGTTGTCTCTGATTAAAACTAAATAGGATTAAAACTTAATTAGGAATACTGGAAAGCCACAGGTGTGGTAAACAGAAATCCCATTAATATCGCCTTAGGTGCAAGGGTTATCTGCCTTGCATTAAGAAGATAGATGGTATAATTTTCTTAGTGTTGTGCACCTATATGAAAAGTATAAATGAGAAACACCACAAGTTCTGCAAATGTCTCTACCAACTTTAACTGCTGCTGAAAATATGCTCCCAATTAACATGGAAATGTCTGAAAAAGTAACTATTATAATGACAAATATGTCTTTTCTTAATTTAGAAGAAAGTACGTTGCCAAAAAGCTAAAAAAGTAGGGTTTTAAAAAGCTGAGGGGGTAGGAAAATGAGAAGAGACAGACACAATAATTAAGCCTAGGGTGGCTCCTTTGATGCCTCATTATAAGATATGCCTTTCATTAAGTGTAATGGAACTTAATGGATCATTTGCAATGGAGAAACATTAACATGGCACTCAAACAAAGTACCCCTTTATTAGCAGCATTGCACATGTACTTTCAAATGAGAAGCTGCCATAAGGATAAATCCACTCTATTAAATACTGAATACAGGATGCAAATAAAGAAGGGATATGCAATATGTGAAATTTATTAGAAATTCTTAATCCAACGAAATAGTAATATAATGAAAAATGTTAAGAACTATTTTGATGAACAAAATTAAGTATTTAATGTGAATAGAACTGTGCTGGCAAAAGTCATATTAGCAACTGTGAAACAGAAAATTCATTTTTGAGTATTACTGAAAACATTACATTTTGCCCCTGCCTTTAAGATGCTATCATAGACCAGACTAAATCAGTTTTCTGTTCAATAGCCTTTAAATATACTACAAAAGTGTACTTAAGAAAGAAATTAAATACTTTTCTCATCATAATAAAAAAATAATTTTATATGAAATACAAGAATTGTCCCACTGAATCAGACCATTTATAACTAGGCATTGTGTCTCTTACAGTAGCACCAAGGAATATTAGCTAAAATATTCAGGGAAGTCTAATCACAGTCTGAGGTCAATTCCCATTTCACTGACCAGCACCTGCAAAGCTTCAGAATGAGGATATGTAGAAGGTACACCTTTCCCTATTCTCCTCAGTACTAATTTATGGCCTATATGGCTACATAATTCTTCTAACCTTTTTTTAACCTGCTGGTTACTGCCCATTCCCACAAAATTTTGTGCAACTGAATTCTAGGGGCTCTCTATTCACTTCATAAGGCAGTGCCTTAACTATTTTGAACAAATCTGTCAGTTTTATTGAGTTTCCTCTAATTCTAATACTCCAGTATCTGGTAAATAGCAGGTCTTCTTTAGCCTAAACTATGTGATGGTGTTTAGGTACAAAAAGCCTAAAATAATAAAACAAGAGTTGATTTCTTTGGAAATCTAAGTCAAACTTGATTCACTGAAACAGTAATATTTTTGGTCTCACATAGTGTTCCTGACATACTTTACTTACTGCAGCACACCTTCTCAGCTCAGCTAGTATGATTATATGGAAGCAAACCTGCAATCAATATATTTTTCACTTTCTCTAAAAGATGCAGGTGGTTACATTAACAGCATACTGGAAACATAGTAGAAATATGCTAATTGAAATCTTCTTAAAAAAATATGCTTACAAAGTCAGATTGCTTATCCTTTAGAAAATATGGTGACATATACATCCAGTAAGTACAAACCATTATCCACACAGTTTTTAATCAGCTTTATTACCACAGTAATAACACTGCCCTGAATGAATCCCCATACAATGTGTATTATCCATTCTGCTGTGGGTGATCCACAACTAAAGCCAAGTGTTGCACAGTGTGATTACAAGGGCAGCACTAAGAAGCTTGAAGAAAACACACAGGATTTTCTAACATACACACACACACATCTTGCTTGCAGGTATCTAAAGACAACAAGTGGAAAATGGGGACTTTGGAATACCAGATAGTGTTGAATTCATGGATACAGAAGTTGTAGGATGTTTAAGAAGCCACCTACCAGTGTGATGTCTCGGGAAGCAGCAGCTGCACTCATGTGTAAACTGGGTTGTCTGACAGAACTGCTGCAGTCCAAGGCTCGAGCAAAGGTGCCAACCGCACTGCAACAGAGGAGTGGGAGCAGCAGTAAACACACAGAAAGATGTAACCCCAAGTGTCAGACTGTGCCATACCTATAAAAGTGACCTTTTCCACATGCAAGCCACATACTGATACTGTTAAGTTTTCAGATCTTTGGTAACAAAGAACAACTTGATAAAGACAAATCACTAAACACTGCAGCAAAAACTCTGACCTTCCGCCCCCCAAAAGTAACTACGTACATATAAGAACAGCAGCTCAGAAACAAAAGATACTCAGAGAATTCTCATGTACCAACCTCTTAATCTATAGAATTTTCAATTAATTATGAAGTCAAAGGTTCTCCATAGTTTGAGGTTTACAATCAGGACTATTATTTCTAAAACTCCAATGATATAATTGTGCTTAAAAATTCTAATTCAGATTAAAAAGGAGGTTCACCACATCCATATGAGGAAATTAAATACATTTCATTCCCTTCAGTACTACATGTCTTCTACTCCCATGGTCTACCTTTCATGGCAGTGAGCCAAAAAAAGCCTGTTAGCTTTGTCTAAGGTACCCCCAAAATTCCTGTGTTGTCTCAGCTTTCAAGCAATAATTAAATAAATTGATCTCTCAACGTACTTAATTAAAGCATTTCATTATTGAAATGGAAATATTTTTTCCAAAACTTCACTTTCTTTTCCACTTTTGTTGATGAATTGCACATGGCATCTATTATACTTAGACTGTTCTAAACTGTAAACATTTCTCGGAGAGGGTAAATATTTCTTGCAAGTACAGCTATGTATCATGCAGAGTGAAGGAAAAGGTGCATAGAGAATTTGACTGGGCCCAGCCTACCATACAGGAAATGAGCAAAGATGCAGTGACACAAAATATTATCAATAAGCAGATCAGAAGTTTCTCCAGTACCTGGATTTGTATAATGACTCTTGAGGTGCATTCAGAAAAAATCAGTTTGTTACAGTTATGACATAATCCCTTTAAAATGCAAAGACCCAGTTACAGATGTAATGCAGAGCAATCCACTGGCATAGGGACTCAAGCCTCACTCAGCAATTGCACCCCACACAACTTGCAAGCGCAGAATTATACCAATGGTGAATGTCACTGACAAATAAATACACTTTGCTATATCCTATAAATCTGATATTCAACAGAAAAACAATGTGCATCAAGACTAACTCAGTGAAGTTATAAATTATCATGGAGAAACAGATAATAAAGTACATTACCGCAATTTCATCTTGAATCTCAAAAAATTTATTACTGAATGCATGTTTCAGTACTTGCTGCCACAGTCTTACAAGCTAAGATTTAACAGCAGTGATTCCGACCCCCTGATATTAACTGCTTTTCTAAAGGCTGTGGAATAAATAATTGATATTGAAATGTTTTTCCACAACCTTTACTCCCTCTTTATGGAGATGGTAAATATCAGAAAACACAAACACATTCTATTTTTTCCCCCCCCAACGCTTGGCAGTACATAAAATAGTATTTGTGCACAAATCCCTTCCAAGAATAAGGCTCTATTATGAACACATTTCCTGATAGTCTGTCAACCCTTTCAACATGCTGGCATTGATAAGGGCTGTAGCTAAGCAGTCTTTCCTGTGATCCTTCTGTCCCTCCTGCTCAAACCAGTGAATGTAGCATGACTGCATTTCCCTTCTGCTGCTACCTGCTAGCTTCTTATCTTCCTTTTCCATAATTAAAATGATTTTCTTTTGACCATATTTCTAAAATAAAGTGTGAGTATGCTATGAACACTACAAAGAACATTCTCACAGTCATTCTCTGGCAGATCAAACTTATGAGGCTGACTTCAGAGCCCAAGAGTATTTTGTTGCTCAGAATGTAAAGTCAAAATTAAGAGACAACATAAATAATAATAGAATTATTATATTATTATTAATAATAATTCTGAATACGTGATAGAGAGGTAAGAACTGGTGCATCAGTGGGCATTGCTTCCAGTGCAGCATAGAGTAGGAGAAGACTGCAGCTCTCAGAAGAATGCTGCATTTTGGAGTATGTGAGTGCAAAAACAATTAATAATAAATAAAACATACAAAGACAAAATGAAATAATAAAAACAATAGAATAAAATATAATAAACACAGTCTCAAACATAAGGAAACAAATATCATAATAACAATATGATAAAAACAAATAAATAATACATAACAAAATGCAGGCAGTGTACCATTTGGGGTGTCAGTAGTGACAGGAGAGGGGGTGTGGATGGTAAGGGACAAATTGGGGGGCCTAGAGGTGTGAGGCATGTCTGTGTCTCTCTGGAAAACAAACTAACTTCTAGCTCTCCTTTCCGTAGAAACTTGTGAAAAGCAGTGAATTCCCAACTAAGTGTAGAAATTCTAGAGCAATTGGCTATTAAATAGTAACTAGGTTCAAAACTAAATAGTGAAATATAATGTTTTATATAATCTAGCTATGCAATTCACATCCAAATTCAATATTACTTTTACAAATCACTAAAATACCTTATTTTTTATGTTTTTTTAATTAAAAATACAGATATCAAGTATGTATTGATGCAAATGTCAAAATCTACATTGGCCACTTTTCCTTGCATGCTTTTCTTCTAATTCCACTATTCCATTATTTTAGAAAAGGAACAAAATAAATAACTAAACAATGTCAATTCCAGAAGACACAGTATTGTCTTCATCTACCTAAAATAAAACTCAGTATTGAGCCAACACAAATTAAACAGTCACACCCTAACCACTCACTTTTCTTAACAAACTTTCAGTATTAATGTCTTGTGAAGTTTGCACAATTCAAAGAATAATTGTAAATAGTTAACTGGAACTATATTTAATTCAGTAATAACAATAATAAACTGTCAACACAAAAAACTGTGCTCAGCAAGCTACTTATGAATTATTCAATGTGTAATTAAAATACTTAAACTCCAAACAGAAACCAACATTCCCCACATTTTCCAAAAGAAGCCAAAGCCAAAAGTCACACAGACAGTGAATTACACAGGTGGCAGAGAGATGGACAAGAGAAACAATTGGTATTATCAGCTGGGAGATCACTCCCTGCACAGCCTGCATCAGCAAGCAGCTGTAAGAGCTTTGAGGGTTAGACCAAATGATCCAGTGTTACTTTAATTTGGTTTTCCTTGGTTTAATTATCTTAAAGAGCAGAACCAAGAAGATTTATAACAGATTGCAGATAACAACCATACAAACAAAACAAATGGATATAGTTCAGTGCCAGGATCTAAGATTATGGAATAAATCCACAAATTCAGCAAAACTCAATGAGGTCTATGTCCAAAAAACTTGAGAAGTTGCTGCAGTTGCTATGCCTGTGTGCCCTGCATTTAGGCAAAATTTCAGATTACATTTTGAATGCAGAAAATACATTGCTCCAAATTACTTATAGCTCAAGTCTAAGACCTTAAAGGAAATAACTTTTGTGTAAGATTAAATAGCAGTAGTCAAAGAAATTAAGAAGCAGCAAACATAAGAGACTGTCCTAGCAAGCTTCCAAAGATGTGGTGGCTCATCAGTAACTAGTTCTGAAAAGAGCTATTATTTACCAAAGAAAATCTGGAACCACTGCAATTCTACGCCAGGATAAAAAACCTCTGCTTCTCCCAACAGCAGTCCAGCATCAAATCAGATCCAGAAAGTTCTGGGTGCAGGCAAGGAACTCTCAATTTCCTTCTGCCTTGTACTCTTGAAAATCCAGCCAAGACATACATCCTTCTCAACCTGAGGATGCTTACTTCAAAACTTCACATTTTTAACACTGCTTGTCTGTTTCACAAGCAGTGAGTATACTCTGGACAAACCTGTTGGAAGTGAGCCACATCTGTGCATACATGAATTTGCAAATGCACAATTCTCCACAGATATGAATGAGACCTATGCCTCACCTCTGAGCTAATATTTTTGAGGAAAATAATTAAGTGATCTTTGGTGGTTTTCTGCATATTAAGAAAGAAAACCTTTTGTATTCCTTGTCTTTACTCCAATGTTCCTCTTCAAACTAAATTGGAAACAGTCCTAAAAAAAAGACATCTCAGACTGGTCTGAACTTAAAAACCAGCCAATTAATATCTGAGTGCTCTATAAGAGATTATTGTGATACTTAAAATATTGGAAAGAAGGGGAAAAAACCATCTTCAGTGAAGACACATGCAAGCAACAAAAGAGTAATTTAAAACTGAACATACACATGACATTTTTACTACTCAGTTCAGCAAGTCTGACCTGCAGAATATATTCAAAGTAAAATGATGCTGTTAAAAAAGATGTTTTCTTTGCATTTCTAAGCAACTGCCTGTACAGTGTTATGCTTCATTATTATCACTTCAGGTATTTACAGCACAAAAGGAGATGGCATTATAAACATGAAAAGCCACCTGCCACTATTCTTTTGCTGAAAGACTCTCAAAGTTAGAGTACGCATGACATGATATATAGATGTATGATACGACCATACATTTCATTGCTATATGAATAGAAATGAAAGATATGTGAAATCTTTCTTATTCAACAGAAATAGAATCCAATAGATAAAAGTAGTTTAATTCACAGGTTGTTATTTAAGGCATCATCTCTATGACATCCTGCAATTCACAGTCACAGAGGAGGAGATGTACAGCCCCCTAAAAGCAGGTCTATGAAAAGTCTGCTATGGAAATTTATTCTTTATACTGAAATAGATCAAAGGTCATGAAAAATAAATAAATAAATAAATAAATTCAGCCCCAAGTCTGAATTAGTTCTTTTCAAATGAATTTGGGTCAAGAAGTACAGTAATACAAAACACACAAAGGAATAAACATATACTAGCCAGGCATGATAGACAGGCAGAAACAGAATTTTTGATACACCTGGTAAACTTGATGTGAACATATTTTTCCTTTTTACTGCCAAACCATCTGCCTACCATTAGATGCTGTAATTCACCTTGCTAGCAAACATCCAGTTTTGTAAGCACAGCATTGGCATCAAGATTTTCCACCATTTTCGCTGCATAATTTTATGTTGCAATTCTGCCATTAAATTTAATTACCACTTTAATGAACTTCAATTCCTTTTACTTCTCATCACCTCCAGAGAATTCAGAAGCATTGTAATACCAAAGACTGCAAACCAATATATTTTATGTATTTATTTTCATTTATGAGCTTTGGGAATCTGGTCTACTGCCACTGACTACATTGAATTATTTCACAAGAACAAAGCACTACTGTTTGATCACGCCTGTAAATGTTTTTACTCATGGTTCTCAGTTAATGAATGCATTATTTTTCTCTGTATAATGAAAGACACCTTGCCAGTTGAAGCTGCATTGTGTTCCTTCCCCACTGTAAGATAAATATAACAATTATAGAGCTTCTCCAACTACTCCAAAATACTGTAAGCACTTTTAACATAGTAGCCAACAGAAAATAATTATAATCAATGTCCTAGAGCAAATGGAAAAGTGGGAACAACACAGGAAGGATAAAGCTTTAATTAAACATGACTAACGACTAATTTTCCATTCTCATATGGTTTTACATCAAAAAATAAGCAGGCATTCAAATGAAGGAAATATGTCAGATAGAGATATATAATGCCGTTTTAACATCATAGAAATCAAAGTACAAAATTTTAAGGTAGAGATGCAATGTGTCAAGGCTATTTTAATTAGATTTCAAAACCCTGGTTTAGTTGGGAATAAGCTGGGACCACAAATGTCTGTTAAATAGCTTCATTTAGAAATATATTCCTTCCAGAAGACTATGTTAGTAATGTAGTTAGATGAAGCAGAATAAAAGAACTACATTCTTAATGGTTTCACTGAATCATAAAGCACATAAATGGAACCAGAATGTACCACAAATGTATCATGCAATGAATTGTAGACCAAATTAGCAGATAGAAAGAAGATTTTTAAAAATAAAAAAAAAGGGTCATTTCTTCAGCTCTCAGCATCTGTCCAGACCAGAGACCACACCTCCTATTGCATTTGAGACTGGGCAAGATTTTTTTTTTTACTCTAAAAAACCAAAAGAAGACAGGACTCTTATGCTATATGGTCAATAGGAATGCTTCTATTTTAGAACACTGTGTCTTATGTTATATAGACAATAGGAATGCTTCTATTTTCTAACACTGGGGCAGAATTAGAAAAAGAACATAAGATCTGGTAATGAAATGAAGTATTCCTTGTATATTAGAAATTATAAGAGATTGATGACTGAAGGAAACAGAGTGTATCTAAATCAGCTCCAATTAGGAACGCCGTACCCAGTGTTTTTATCTTCTTCATTTTAGCCAACAAAAAAAAAGTATCTCAATGCATCCCAGCTGGGTTCCTGTTAAAAGTACTTCCACACACTCATAGATATTTAGTCCACAGGACTTGATTAGAGACACACCTAAAAAAAAAATCTGTTCAAAATGTGCAGTGGGACACTGGGCCTTCAGCGCCAAACATTTCAATTCTACAAACCCATTTTTACTATACTGAACTATTCCCTAATGTGGGCAGATCTAAATGGCTGTTGCAGCTTCTCAAACTCCTGTCCTTTGAAGCTGGCAGACACAGAACATGGCCAATGTATAGGACAGAAGGAAAACTGGTTGGTGCAGCTGTATCTTATTTGAATGCAGTACAAAATGCTGTTGGACTTTTCATTGTCACAGCACAAACATTACCCAAAAGACAACTCAAACCCAGAAAACATTAGCCTCAGGCTTCTCCTAACAGATGCTTTTGCTAGTTCAAGCAAGAGTCTTTACCCAAATTATGCTTCAGTAGCAGCAATAAGGTACTCCCAAGATTTGTGTGTCAGGCAAGACTACTTGGGGAGGCCAAGTTTACAGATCTTTCCACTTTTTTCCTAATCTCCATCATTTTTTGGGCACTGTTACCTCTAATTTCTGCACAGGATAGGCATATTCTTCCTTTCTACACAGGAAATTATGAATAGTAGGGCTTAGTGAGAAGCCCAGACTGACCAGGCATATAAACCTAGAGAAAAAGGCCTCTCATTCCTGAGGCAGAAAACAAACCCTGTAAGACCAGGAAAGCTACATGTCCAAGGTAGCTAAAAATATAAATATACTTGTAAATGGGCAACAAATAAAAAGAGTATTTAAACACCTTCTGAAAAAACAACAAAGCTGCCTTTGAGATTGAAAAAGCTAAAGCATTTAAGGACAAAAGCAACTCTTCTTTCAAACAGATCAGACTGGGGGAAAAAAAAGAGAAGAAATAAAAAACTCAATTCCTTCAAATCAGCATCTAAAAAGGATCACTTGAAAATGCTTTTAAAATGTCAAGCACAATAGCATTCACATACTTAACAAATACCACACCTGGGAAGGTACTTAAGAAAAAATTATTCTTGTCATATTTTCAAATTTTCAGAACTAAACATAACCAGAGAAAGATTGTTCCAACTGGAAATCCAGCAGGCCCAGCCAATGCCCAGTGAACCTCAGTTAGCAGAGGTGTCTGCAAGCACTGTTCACCACATCATAACACCAGCTCTCCACTGTTTCTCAAGCAGCTTTAAATGGTCCTGTATAATGGCCCAGTATAAATGCTGTACCCACACAACACCTGAATTGAAAGCTGCCACCAAATCATCACAGAACAATTTCTCCAGAAATTCACAAAAATCTGTCTCAGAAGCCACTTAGAGCATCCTGTGAATACAAGTCTATAGGAGCTTGGAAACAATTTCTGTCAGCTGAAAAGCAACTTCTAAAGATGAATGGAGGTCTGTGCAAGAACATCCACAAAGCTGCACCTGAGTAATACCTGATGACAGATCAGGTACTACTCTTGTGGTATCCAAGTACCCCAAGACCTTGGATAGTAATAATTAATCAGCCATGATCCACTATAACAGAAACCATCTTTACAGAAATGCTTTGACTTTAAAATAAATGCAGGCTTGGTCAGGGTACAGCATTGCAAAGGATGTCTTAAACAACAGGAGGAGAAAAGGCTATTCTTTATTTATTTAATTATTCTCTCTTCCTTCCCAGCAGGCTGCTTACTGCTACATTCTTTTGTGAACATTTTTGGCTCCACAGAATACTGCTTCTGCTCCCCAGAAGCTGAGAAACAGCAAATAGTGGAATTTTAAAGCAATCAATGAACTCTTCCAAAATTCCCAGTCTTTACACAGATGTGTCTTTAGGGAACACCATAATAAACTGGCCATACATCTCCAGGTATTATATTGCTGGTGAAAAAGCAGTTTGGATTCTTGGTTACTATGGAACATCTACCAGACCCTGTAACTTTTTGAACACCTGTTAACACCTAAACTCCTCTGTCTTGCTTGAAAATTCAACAAGGGCAGTTAAAAAAAAAAGTTTTAGTTCTTTATAGAAAGGATACAACATTTCAAGTGGAGTAAGGAAAAAAATCAAGTGAATCAGCACATTAACTGTAAATGAGTAAATCAGCATCCCATATCACTATACAATAAGCTGGAAAATATAGAGCAACATTTTTTTTCTGTTTTTCTTCCTGATTGTTTTTTCAAAAGGGAGAGAGAAAAAAATCCCAAAAACTAGAACCCATGTAAAAGGATTACTTGCCTAAAAAGATTTGAGATTGCTTTCAGCAAGCAGGTCACATGAAATACAGGAGATGGATTTTTTCAGGATAAAATCCATATGTGAACTGTGTTCTCTACTATCATTAGAACAGAATCTTTGTAACTATGAATCAGAGGAAAGGCAAAACCTGTTATATCCTATGAATGTAGAATTTCCCTTCAGTAAGAAACCTAAAAATTTTGGAAGATTTTTTTTTAAGTAGATACCTAATTTTTAAAGGTATTTATTAATTCAAAGCACTTTGATGTTGTCTTCATAAATCTGCAAAATCATGTTAATTTATAAAATTGAGCTGACTTGATTTTTTTCACTAATGAAATACATGACTTCAAAACTTTATTTCAATATTCATCCAAAATAATTATTCAGCCCACATGCATATGTGGCAAGTTCTTCACCCATTTAATTTGTTAACATTTTCTTTATTTCTACTCTTAACCTCTATTTTACACCATGAAATTCCAAGTACTGTAAAACACAAGACTCTATTATCATTAAAGTACTGAAACAATTTATTCTGAGGGAAAAGCAAACTGATATCTACATTCAAAGTATCAAATTCTACTACAACCTGAAATACAGGGAGTGTATCATTATTCCAAAACTCGCTCTCTTTTTCTGCCTCCTGTATTGGTAGCTTCAAGAAATTACCAAGGGTCATGGTCTGATTTTCTCTTTTAGCTAACTGTGGGAAAGAGAAGGGCTCACAAAATGGCAAACAGGATGAGTAACACGATATAGGGGAATGAATAGTCAGTAGAAAAAGGAAAAGGATTTTTGATGAGAGGATTTTAATCTTACCGTGCTACAACTAAAAACTGGTCAATCTGACGGTCAGTAAGGGGGCTATCTGGATCCCACACTTTTACTTCCAGCTTTGCCTGTTCTCTGTCATCTAATTCTCCTGTCAAAAGGTAGATGGGACAAAACACTTATTACTCACAATGTTTTTCTTTGTGTAGTTCTTGCACCATGTTTAAAAGAGACATTGTACATTTTTAAACATATACACATACACACACATGATTAACAATCATCAGCAGTTATCCAGGTCAATTCCATAATGCAGCATCACCAAAATAAATACCTTCCCCTAACATCAGCATTTCAATTTAAGGAGACATTCTTAGGAGGTGAAATACCAATGAACCTTAATAAAATGTTATTATAAAGTTGAAACTATACCCTAAGTAACCAACCAGTGGCTTCTTTAAATTGCTTGTCTAGTATATCAAAGTTACTGTCGCACTTAAGCCATACTAAATTTAATTTTACACTTAATCAACTTTAGCAATTAAAATCCATCCAATTTGTATTCTATGCCCTGAAAAAATAAATCATTATGCAAAAATGCTGTCTACTGTATTTAAGCTTTTTTTAACCTCTTCAGCCACTACATTATCTGTATTGTTAAAAACAAGAAAGTTACTATATACTGCACCATCATTTCCCAACTTCATTTATGTGAACGAAACAATTTGTGTACATGCACATGGCTGAAACAGTGGGAGTGGTTTCCAAAATTTATTTTGCCCTATATACATTGTTACAAGAATATGATTTGTACTGCATGGAAGAACAGTGAAGTGTGAATTTGGTACAAGGATTTACATTCATAAAACTTGATCTTGTCTTGCCTACTACACCAATAACTTCTCCTGTAAAATAAGAAACATTTCAGAGGCTGATGGAGGAAGCACCACCTGTGCTACCAGTACAAGGAGATTTTCCCGTGGGATGTAGCCAACACATTTGTGTCCACCAGAGATGATAACAGTCAAGTCAGAATCACCGTCTTTCCCTGCTGTTTTAGAATAGGAGGGTGTTCTTCCCTCAGCCAACATGCAAAAACCACTAATGTTTAGCTGGTTGCCAGTTTGACTTTTACAATCTACTGCAAGAATGAAAACCTGTTGTCAGATGCAGCCATTCCACTCCCTTTGAAAATCTGGGCTGTGTAGATCCCTCTCTGATCACACAGAAGATTACTTTATTCTGTGCTGTTTCTTATTACTTATGACAGTCTTCTTATGACACATTCTCAGAAAAACAGCCAGTCTAAACATGCACAGTATCATCAAGACACGAAACAACCTGTACACTTGAGAGACTGGAAGCAGACTGCAAACCAAGTACTGGCTCTTCTCAAATCACATAATATATGATAACTTCTAGCACATTGATTCTGCAAAGAAATTAAAATGTGGTATATATTTATCCCTAGCAAACACACAAGTTAGAACTGCACCATGCTGTCTGGCTAATGTTTCAGGAACAAATTTCACAGTCACATTCTCAGAAAAACACAGTAAATTACTTTCTTCCAATACACAGGCAATAAAGCACTGACTGCCTAATGGGACTTCAGCTTCTGTTCAAGCTAATTCACACCCAATATGGAAGACAAACTGTTAATTTCTGGCATCTTGGAAAGGATTTTAGATCTATAAACTTATTCTATCGATTGCACACCTGTCAATACATTCATTTCTTCCATCTGTGACAGACACGTTGTGGGTGATGTTCTAAATTTTATAAATATTCTCTGAGTACTTCATTTCAATCTGTTAATAGTTAGTTTTTAAATACCTTTAATGTTAGTTAACCATTTCAGGACATCATAGTCTGAGGATCAAACATTATTTAGGTAGATTATACTTCTCACCAAGAGAAAACATCATACAAACACAGCACCAGTATTCAAATAAAAAATGTATTCTGAATCAAGTTTGCAACAAGAATAAAAAAACTGCAATACTACAGTTCTTACTTTAATTAGATGAAACAAAACAATTGCTACTGTAAAGTGTTGTAACTCTTCATAAATGTGAATGTCAAATATTGCCAAGCAGCATTTGTAATGCCAGTAGACATAAATAGGATACAAGCAATGGAATATCTATACCAAAATAATCTAAACACATCTAATAATTGCAATATTAAATATCACTGCAACAATGGTAGAGGTTTCCAGAAAAGAGGTGGAGTCTGCCAAACTGCACTTTCAACAGCTATGTAATTCCTGATTTTCCACTTACATGGCAGGATAAAATCACTTTAACAGGGAAAGTAACTTAAAGGGACCAAACCATGGAGGCAGTCAAGGTGTGCTCTATTAACCTCAGAAAAGTTAATTTCAGGAATAAGTATTTTGTTGACTTCCTTTGCCTGTGCTGAAAGCATTAGTAAATGAGGATCACATAATATAAGCAGGTCTTTGAAAATAATGATTACCAACCCTCTGTGTTTTACTTGAGTTGTCAATCCTTAGCTGATCATGCCTGTACTGCATCCCATAGGATTTTTAACTTAGCAAACCACCTTAAGATGCAATTTCTCTGTTAGCACATCAACATTTTTCTTATACATTGTTGAATTTGACACCAAAGTATAAGACATTCAAACTGAACAGATGATAAAGCTGTCATAGTATGAATTTGTTATACTGCAAAACCCAGCTCACAAAGGAATGGGGGAGTTTTACTTTAACCATTTTCAGTGCATCTGAGAAGTTCAGTTTAAAGGTGTCACCTTCCCTTACCACCAGCAGCATTTCAATTACAGCTTTTGAGAAGTATTGAGAAGGAAATTTTTTTTAATTACTGATATACCATACCAGTATATCCAATTTATTCTAGTCACTGCTTACAATTTTATTACAGCCTGTCTAACCCTGATGACTAATTGGAAAACATTAGTAGATTGTCAGAAATACATCTGGTTTACTCTTCATCAATCATTCAATTCCTTATTTCTCATGAACGTCTTCTAGTAAAAAGTAAGAATTTTCTTTAAAAAAAAAGTTTAAAAGTCTTGTATTTCAATTAGTCATTTTAGACAAATGAAAGCATGATGTGCCCCTCTAAAAAAAGGAAGAAAAAAATTTCTAAACAAAAATAAACTAAATGTATTTAAAATGAGGAACATGAAATTAAAGATCTAAGCAGCCTTTTAGATTTCTCTTTCTGCAGATAAATACCCCAAGGATAACTAGTACATCAGATTCAGCATGATTCTAGGTTCTTCTTGTATCTAACTAAAAGAAAATTACTTTCAATACAAACAGCTTCTTAGAGTGAAATTCTTTGAATTTAAAGATGAAAATACTGCAATATAACATACTAAGAAACTGAAATATGAATCTATAAGCTATAGATTATTTTAAAAATTATTGTCAATGAAACAATACAAACCTAATTTTTAATGAAAAACAGTTGATGAGGTGTCTGATTTTAAAGACACCTTTGATATATAAAGTTTTATTTATGTATTTTGCACAACTTGCACTATTTTTCAAAAAGCTTTTATTCTCCTTCTCAAAAAGTAATTTGGCCATTAATTCAATTCAAACATGCAAATTGGACACCTGCAGTACTCAGTTTGCAGAATGAATCCAGCTTTCAGGACATGCAAAACAGAGGTGCCAGTTGCTGGATCCTTAATTCCACGGGACAGAAAATCTGTGGCTGTGGGGTTTTGGTCATGGTAAGGCAGTGGATCTCTCCATGGACAGAACTGGCCACCAGACCAAGAGTTCCAACCACAGAGCTCCTCCCAGTAAGCAAATTCATTTATTCATCCAACCTCCTGAAATCAGCCAGTTTTGATGTGTGTGTCAATTCCTCAGGCTCACCAGACACCTAAGCAGATAAATGTGGAGGCATTTGTGAAGGCTCACATTCTTAATGCTTAGCACATGTATCAGAATTCAATCCAGTGTCTTCACCTCTGTGGTTCAGTTTTGTACTTGTGGAACAGAAATATCTCTTAGCTAACATTGCAAGGATGAGGAAGAGAGGTACTTGTTGGCTATTATCCTCCCTTAGATGAGTTTAGCATCCAACACAATGAAATTTCTTTCACTGAAATATGGATTTAGCAGATCAAGCATTTAGCAGGTTGTTGCCAGAACTCTTTGGGAGTATACTACCTGCAGGTAATCCTAAATGGTTTTTTGAGCATAGTTTCCTGTGTTGTTTGTGTACCATTGTTGTAAATATAGGCAACAGATCAGTGAAAATGAAGTTTCAGTTCATGAATCACATTCTCATGCTGCTATTTAGACAGTCTGCAAACATTTGCTCTGACTTGCAGAGGAGAAAAATAGAATCACATTGAATTTTCTTGTACTGTATATGAACAAAGTTCCAGATATTAAGCCTGTCTGTCTAATGCAAAATCTGAGCTTTCTCCTTGGATGAAAAGTACATTAGTTCCTCACTAAAAGAGTCAGTATATTCATCCTGCATAAAATTCTTATTACTCATTTTTATTTAATCTTTTTTCATTTGAAATTCTCACCAGTACAGATTAAAAAAATTCAGAAGAAAAGTTAAAAAATTAACACTTAACTCTTCAAAAAAATATAATGGAATTATGTGCAAATAACTTCTCTGATCAAAATAACATGAGAAAGCTTAGATGAAAAGTGTAGGCAAAAGAAAAATTATTTGTTTCCCTTTCAATTTCAAACCAATCTCCCCTCTGCCTTAGCTTGCCTGACAGAGGTATATTCAACTTTCAATTATTCAGGTAAGGAATTATACGTTTATGCAAATCTCATGGTAAAAATATATGAATGTAAGACACGTATAAGGACTAGAAATTAAAATCAGGCTAAAAAAATAGAGATATTAAAATACAGACTATAAATGAAATATATCACATGATAAAGGCCTGTTACTTGTCTATAATCATTTAAGCTGCTACTGGGCATTTTTAAAGCCAATGAAACATGCATAGTCGAGTCACCACTTATCCTCTAGAGCTTGAATGTATAAAAACATTTAATCATTCTGCACTTGAAAAATCCCTTTTGAAATAGAACTGCCTCCTATGACCTTAAAGCTCTCTCAGTGTTCAGCCTTGCAGTACTTATAATTTAATCACTGATGATCAAAAGAC